GCTCATGTATATGCTACTTTATTGTAGCTTCTAAATCAACACTTTTCCATACTGATTTTTAAGTTATTATATCAGTGTTTTCCCTCTACAAGGACTGCAAGATTTCTGAAGGCAGTGATCATGCACTATCTCCCTATCCCCAGGTTGTTTGAAAAACAGAGTGTGGTTTCGGTAGGAGGTAGCAGATATTAATGGATAGAATGGGGCAGCACGGGTGAGATGGGTAGTCAGAGGCACTGTTACTCCTCACTCTTCTCCCCACTGCTCTTATTCTATAGTCATTTCATTTACACCAAGACTTAGACTCCCTAAAGGATGAGGCAGATTTATAAAAAATCTATTAAGTAAGAAATAACAACTTTCTGTTCTTGGTTGCATACTATTATTTTTTAATTTTTAATTTTTTAATAATGTTTGGTAACCCTACCCAGCTAATTATAATTATATTTTTAAGATTAACTTGCTTATTTGAAGGTTTAAAATGATAGGCGAAGTATTGCTTACAAAAATTTTCCTAGATTTTCTTTCTTTTTGTAAATAGTTTTATTGAGGTATAATTGATATATAATAAGCTGTACATATTTAAATTATACATTTGGCAAATATTGATATGAGAAATCACTCATAAAACCATCAGTATAATAAGGAAAATGAATATATCATCAATTAGACAATTTCTTCCTGCTCCTTTGTAATCCCACCCTCACGCTCCTACCTGTGGTACTTCCTTCTCCCACCCCACCTCTGTCCCCAGGGAATGACTGATCTGATTTCTAGCACTATAACCTACTATTACTCTAGCATTTTTTAGAACTTTATATAAATGCAATCATACAGTACTTTGTTGTGCTTTCATATACATGATTATCTTGAGATTCATTAATGTTGTTTATATCAGTATTTCATTCATTTTGATTGCTGAATAGCATTCCACTAAATGGTTATATTGCAATTTGTTCACCCATTCACCTGTTGATAGGCATTTGAATTGTTTATAGTTTTTGACTATTACAAATGAAGTTGCCACAAGTGTTAGAATTGAAATATATTTTCATGTCTCTTGGATAAATGTCTGGGCATGGAATGGGCACATCGTATGGTAGGTGTATGTTTAACAACTTAAGAAAGTGCCAAACTATTTTCCAAAATTGTATCATTTTTCATTCCCACCAGCAGTGTAAGAGTTCCAGTTCCTTCACATCTTCAGCAATACTTGGTATAGTTAGTCTTTTCTTTTTAGTATTTTAACCATTCTAGTATGTGGATAGTGATATCTCATTGTGGTTTTAGTTTGTGTTTCTTGAATGACTAATGATGATGAGCATCTTGTCATGTGCTTATCTGCCATAACTATGATTTATATGGTGAAGTGACTGTGTAACATTTTGCCTATCTTTTTAACTGGGTTGTTTGTATTATTATTATTTAGTTTTGAGTGTTGCATATACCTTATGGATACAAATCTTTTATGAGATAGATGATTGGCAAATATGTTCTCTGTGTATGCTTTGTCTTTTTGTTATCTTTCATAGTGCTTCTCAAAAAACAAGTTTTCAATTTTGATAAAGTCCAGTTTATCAATTTGTTCTTTTATGGATCGTGCTTTTTGTGTCATATGTAAGAAATTTTTAATTAAGCGAAGGTCACAAAATTTTTTACTCATGTTTTCTTCTAGAAGTTTCATAGCTTTAGGTTTTACATTTAGATTTATGATCCATTTGGAATTAATTTATCTGATGCGAGGTATAGATTAAAGTTCTTTTATTTTATTGCATATAGATATTCCATTGTTCCAGCACAATTTGTCAGAAATATTATCCTTTTTCCACAGAATTGCTTTTGTGCCTTTGTAGAAAATCAGTTGTCCATGTACGTGTTAGTCTATTCTAGACTCTATTCTGGTCCATTCATTTACTTTTTTTGTTTTTACATGAATACTTCATTGGCCTGATTATTGCAACTTTATAATACATGTTGAAGTTATGTATTGTTATTCTTCAAAATATGTTCTTCAGTTTCAAAGTTATTTTTGCTATTCTAGATTCTCTGCATTTCCATATGAATTTTTAGATTCATCTTGTCAATTTGTATAAAATAGCCTGTTAAGATTGTGAGTAGCATTGCATTAAATCTATAGATAAATTTAAGGAGAGTTGGCATATTAGCAATATTGAGTCTTCTGACCCATAAGCACAGTACATCTCTCATTTTAATTAGGTCTTAATAATTTCTGTCAACAGCATTTGGTAGTTTTCAATGTACAAATCCTAAACATCTTTTGTCAAATACATTCCAAAGTTTTTCTATTTCTGATGTTATTGTAAATGATATTTTAAAATAATTTCTGTTTCATCAGTTATCCAATATAAATTTAATGTCATAAAATTATTCATATTTTCTTATCCTTTTAATATCTGTAGACTGTGTAGCAATATCATGCTTTCATTTTTTATATTGTTAATTTGTGACTTCTATGGTTTTTCCTGGTCAGTCTGTGATATGGTTTGGCTGTGTTCCCACCCAAATCTCATCTTGAATTGTAGTTCCCATAATCCCCATGTGTCATGGGAGGATCCCAGTAGGAGGTAATCATGGAAGTGGTTACCTCCACACTGTTCTTCACTATTATGGCGGTTACCTCCACGATAGTGAGTGAGTTCTCACGAGAGCTGGTGGTTTTATAAGGGGCTTTTACCCCCCTTCACTCTATGCTTCTCCTTGCTGCCACCGTGTTTGCATGTCCTTCCACCATGATTGTAAGTTTCCTGAGGCCTCCTCAGCCCTGTGGAACTGTGAATCAATTAAACCTCTTCCGTTTTATAAATTACCCAGTCTTGGATATTTCTTCATAGCAGCATAAGAATGGACTAATACAGTCTGGCTAAAGCTTCTTTCGTGTTTTAAAATCTTTTAACCAGCTTTTGGCTTTCTTGATCTTTGTGTATTATTTTTCTATTTTATTTTATTTTATTTCGTTATATTCTGATTTGATATTTATGATTTCTCATCTATTTTAAACTTTGGTTTAATTTGCTCTTTTTTTTTCTCCTAGTTTGTTAAGATGGAAGCTGAAGTCATTGATTTGAGACCTTTCTTTTTTTCTCATATAGGCAGTGCTTATATTTAGTGTTAAACACATTTCCCTGGAATTATTGCTGTAAACAATATCTTACCTTAAAGAATATGTTGTATTTTAGTTTTCATGTACTTAAAAAGTCCTAATTTTTTTTTGATATGGTTTTTGAGTGACCCAGGAATTATTTAGAAGTGTGTTCAGTTTCCAACTATTTAGGGCCTTTCTAAATATGTATCTGTTATTGATTTCTGTTATTAATGCTATTTTCGTGTGACTGGGATCCTTTAAAATTTATTGAGACTTTTTTTTTATTATTATACTTTAAGTTCTAGGGTACATGTGCATAATCTGCAGGTTTGTTACATATGTATACTTGTGCCATGTTGGTGTGCTGCACCTATCAACTCGTCAGCACCCATCAACTCGTCTTTTACATCAGGTATAACTCGCAATGCAATCCCTCCCCCAACCACCTTCCCATAATAGGCCCTGGTGTGTGATGTTTATGGCCCAGAATATGGTCTTCCTTGGTAAATGCTTTTGAAAAGAATGTGCATTCTGCTATTGTTGCGTGGAGTGTTCTTGAAATGTCTATTAGGTCAAGTCAGTTGATGTGTTGTTCACGTTTTTATCTTTACTAATATCTGTCTACTTGTTATATCAATGGAGAATGTTGCATCAATGATGAGTTGAAATTAATCAATAATTGTGGATTAGTCTGTTTCTCCTTAAGGTTCTCTCAATCTTTTGCTTCATGTATTTTGAAACTCTGTTATTGGGTACATAAATGTTTTGGTTTGTTATGTCCTCTTGGTGGATTGATCCCTTTTTCATTATGAAATGATCATCTTTATCCCATGGAATATTCACTGCTTTAAAATATACTTTCTCTGACATTAATATAACCGTTACAACTTTCTTTTGACTAATCTTATAATGGTATATCTTTTCCCATTCATTTCATTTTATTTGTGTTTATAGTTAAAATTGATTTCTTGTAGGTTGTTTATAATTGGGTCTTTTAAATCCAGTCTGATAATCTTTGCCTTCTAAATGGGATGTTTAGGCTGTTCGCATTTAGTGTGATAATTGATATGTTTAGGATTAAATCTTTTTATTTCTTTTCTTATCTTATTTTATTATTTGTTCCCCTTTTCCTCTTTTTATGCTTTCTTTTTGATTTTTTAAACGATTCTACTTAATATCCTGTGTTGCTTATTAATCATATTTTCTTGTTTTATTATTTTAGTGGTTGCTTTAGCATTTATAATATTTGTCTCCAATTTATTATAGTCCAAGTGATAATATATCTCTAAGTGATATCATACCACTGCATGTAAGAACATCACAAATTTCTCCCCTACCAAGCTTGGTACTAATGCCATACATTTTACTTTTACATATGTTGTAAACCCCACACCAACAAAGCTATTATTTTTGCTTTAAACAATCAATAAATATTTGTCATTTTAGTTAAATTTCATTTCTTTGTGTGAAACCATATTTCTATCTGCTGTCATTTTTTTTTGTTTTTGCCTGATGGATTTCCTTTAGCATTTTTTATAGTGCAAGTCTGATGGTGATGAATTCTTTTTGCTTTGGTATATCTGAAAAAAAAAAGTCTTTATTTCATCATTATTTTGAAAGCTGTTTTCACTGGGCGTAGGATTTTAGGATTGCAGTTTTTCTTTTATTTTAGTACTTCACTTTTGCTTCGCTATCTTTTTGCTTATGTTCTTCCTGATGATTAACCTGCTGTAATCTTTATCTGTGTTTTCTAATGTAGGTATCTTTTTTTTCCAGATACCCTTTAAGCTGGGTGTCTCAAATAGTTTACTTCGATTTGTATTTAGTATCCTGCTTTAAGAGCCTATCCAGTATTTTCATATCTGTGTTAATATTTAGCTCTTATTTTTCAATATAGGCCGGAAGTGTTAGAAGATTCACCTCTGGTTCCCCAAAAAGGCAGTTTTCAGATGGTTCATTGCAATTGCAGTGTTCATGAACGTTGTGAATGTCTTGTGCCTGTGCCAACAGCCAAACTCAACAACACTCTCCTTATGTGTTTGAAAATCACATCTGGTGGAGTAATTTTCCAGTCACCTCTAATGTCAGTTCAGCCCATAAATATGGGTAAGTTATGCACTAACATGATGATAATAGGTCAAAACATCAGTCATATATAAAGGTTAAAAATTGCTTACAAAAATATTTGCTAGCATATCTCACTTTGCTTAACACTGTAATGATGGTAGATGTAGTACTGGGGGTATGAAGAGTGGCTTCTGGAATGATTTAACAATAGTATGTATATCTCGGCCATTGTCACTTAAATTCTGTTTTGAAAACTGTTTTCTTTAAATCCTGGATCTATGTAATGGGTGTGTATTGATTGGATATCACTTTTTCACAGCTCAGATAACTATTTTTAAAAATAATTAGAAGCATGTTTCTTACCTGAATTTATTCCTTCAATAAATATTTCTTAGAGGCTTATGTTTGTCAGAGACTGTTCTAGGAGCTAGAAAAAGAGTGGGAAATTAGACATGGTTCCTACCTCAGAGAGCAGGGAAAAACAATAGTAGGCAGAGACAATGATAAAAGAGTAAATAAGTAATTTACTGTACAAACATGATTACAGAAAACTTCAAATAATAGACAACACTCTGTTTTCTTTGTGCAAAGATCCCCCCAAATCTCTTTTTATCAATTTAAATATGCAATTACAAATGTGAATAATACAGGCAAATGTTAGTGCTATGTATTTAATTTATTAATTTCATTTAATTATGTATAATTTAGCAATTTTTCTCCACTTATATTTCCTGAAACAATTGTATGCAAACTCTTTATGTCTGATTTTGCATCATTGGTTTTGACATCACTAGAGCCACTTTTCCAAGTATCTGATACAATTTTACATACAACTCAGGCTTTGCTTCTTTCTAAGTTACTGGAGATACAGCACTTTTTGAAACTGTGTATGACATCGTATTTTAACGTTAAGACTTTCAAATAATTTGTCCTCTAGGGATATCATTGTGCTCTCCACAACATAGTTACAATGACATACAAGCAATTCAATCGTGAAGTTATACCATAGAGAAAAAAATTACAAAATCTTTGTTCAATATCATTTTCTTTTCTTTGCAAAACTAATTCTACCTGATAATTTTTTAGTAGCATTTAGAGTCAACTTTGAGTTGCATTGTTTTTCAAAATGAAATAGTTAAGGGAAAGTGCTATGGAATTTTTAAGAACTTGAAAACTTTCTTAATTTTGTCTTTATGCAGAGATAATTTTGGGGAAAAAATCTTTCCTTGTATTTGAACACATATGATAATATCCCCAAATTATATGTTCCATGAAAACAATAAAACTGGTGTGATGGAGTGTCAGGGACTATTGTTTCTACTATGTAGATCAAAGAAGATCTCCTTTAGGACATAGCATTTGAGCTGACTAAAGAAGAGATATCCATGCAAAAATCCAGAGCAAAAGGTGCTCCAAGCAGGAAGAACAATATTCACAAAATCCCTAAGATAAAATGAACTTGGTAATTTGAGGAACAAAACAGAAGACCTTTGTGCTAGGAGTGAATGAGGTATGAGAGTATTAAGGGATGAGGTCAGAGTTACCTGGTCCAGAGCATATAGTAGGCCAGGGTGGAGAAGTAAAGAACTGTTTTGGTTTGGATCTGTTTGGGAGATGGTGCTTACTGGACTGTCTAGTGGTTGGAGTTGTAGAGTGTGAAGGACAGAGGGGAATCAAGGATAACTCTTAAATTTAGACCTGGGCATCTAGATGAACAGTGACACTAGATACTGAGATATGGAAACTCAGGGAAGATTAGGTGTGTGTACAGAAATCAAGAGCTCTGTTTTGGACACATTGTATTTGAGATGTCTGTTGGAAACCTAGGAGACGTTGAATAAGAAGTTGGACATACGAGTCTAAAGTTTAGGGGAGATATATACATTTGGGAGTTATTAACATATCAAGGTTTAGAGTATTGTATGAGATCACCTATTTAGAGTTCAGGAAGAGAAAGACTGAGGGATTATCAGTAAGAATGCAGGAGTAAAAGAGTATGTTGTTCTAGAAGCCAAGTGAAAAAAATATTTCAAGAAGGAGGGTATAAGCATCTGTGGAGTGCTGCTGAGAGGCAGAGTAAGATGAATGGGAAATTGACATTGGGTTTGTTTTTGTATTTCTAATAGTAATGCATATTAGTATTGTCAACCTAAAATGTATGACAGATACCAACTCTACAAAGCAAAAAGTTTATTTGGGAGTAGTAGGGGATTGCAGTTCTAGATATGCATGCTATGGAATGACTATGACACATCCACGGGGGGTTGGAGTAAAGGGGAAGCTTGAAAAGACATATAGGAGACCTCCATGTAAGCTCTTTTGAACAAAGATTTTTGGTTACAAGAGCTTGCTGCAGGGGTTGGCATTAGCTCATTGGTGGAGACAGCCATTGTTAGGCAAGTGTCTCTGTGCAGGCAGCTTTTATGGAATACTGTGGTTTTGAGGAATTATTTACATCGTTCCAACGTAGGCATACATGCATAAGAGGACTCCTTCATGGCCTCCCAGCTCCATTGTGTTAGGGTTCCACATTAGTAACTCCAGTTTGATACTGATAACTTTTACGATATGCAGATAGGAAATGTACAATAGCTTGTAATATTGTGATTTTACTTTTCTTTGGTATATGTTTGTTTTCTCTTTGGTCATGGGAACACAGTAAATTTCACCTGTAATTTCCAGACTTTTGTGTTTAGCTGTCTTTGCTTTAAAGTAACTGAAATTTTTAATATGTCACATAAAGTAAAACATCATTGATTTTGACTAAAAGGAAAATTGTGACCAAATTCTTGAAAATATAGAATGTGAAAATTATCTTATGCTCTTTATTTGTTGAAAATAAAATTCGAATCAGTAATTGTTTCAATTTAATGATAATTTCTATATACATGAATAATTCCTGTTAATTGTAAAAACCTTGCTAATATAGAGATGAACAAACAAGAAAACGCACCCATTTTCTATCACTTTGGCAATCTTTCTATTTTAAATATATCAGGAATCCAAGTATAAATGTGTGTTAAACTTTCAAAATTTAAACATTAAACATTTTTAATATTCTGAGAAACTTCATCCCTACTTCTGATGACAAGCCAGGGACTGCTGCAGCTGCATTTATTGCATGGGAATATTCATGCTGTCAGTTATTTGAGTAGGTTTGTCTAGATTATAGACAATTATGATCCATAATTAATAGACAAGTTGATTTTTGGATAGTTTTATGCATTTCCAAATAGTGTTCTGCACAATGCTTTTTTCCTTTTTACCCACTAAAATAAGTGGAGTGGGTGAGGTTCAGGGGAGACTTCGAATAAGTTTGAGGATGCTGGGTTTAATAAAGTTAAGTGGGATTCTTATAAGGGGAAATAACATTTAGCAAGATAATCTCATTTGCTGATTCATAGTCTTTACCACTTAAGGGGAGGGAAATGGATATACATGGATTGCTATGATAAGGTACAAGAACTAGACCCAATATTCTAGCTTGTTTCGGTTCTGTAATTAGTCCTTGGATAAAGTCACCTTTTAAGTACTTGAAAGGCAAGATATGATGAAAATTTATTTTGACTTTATTTTATTCAACTATAATTGTCATGAAAATTACTTGACTTAAAAATATTCTCTTTTTTTTCTTAAGTGAAGCCTGATCCACCATTAGGTTTGCGTATGGAAATCACCGATGACGGTAATTTAAAGATTTCTTGGTCCAGCCCACCATTGGTATCATTTCCACTTCAATATGAAGTGAAATATTCAGAGAATTCTACAACAGTTATCAGAGAAGTAAGTATATTTTAATAAGTAAAATGAAAAGTTGAGAAGTTAAGACCCTCTTAAGTCCCATAGCAATTAACCTCTGCATACTAAATATATACATTTCTTCTAAAGCAGAATGAATTATAGTTCAATATTTCATATTATATATATCATATATAGATAGATATACATACGTATATATATATGGCTATAGGAAATCTAGTTACAGAAACTTTAATTCATAATTACAATTATTTTCCACCAACAGACCACTGATTTCATCTTTTTTTTAAATTGCTCAATCTATTTGAATCTTTTTCTGAGTGTGGCAACAGAAAGATTTTTGCTTGGCTAATCATTAGTCGAGCTTCTGAATCTTCTGCTAGCCCCATCTGTGCATATTCCTGTAAAACTCAGTTTTAGCAAAGAACTCTGCTAAGTCATTTTAGAAGGAACCCCTCGACCCTGGATATCTGAGGAATATTTGGTCAGGTTTCTCATCCTCCATCATTCCCCAAATAATGTTTGATCACCATGGCCTGTCTTCAATAAGAATTCTGTTAGGTCAGTTTAGCCAGAATCCCTCTTATCATGATGTTTTTGCTTAGTAATTTTCTATCTATTCCCTGCTTCTTGGCTATAAATTCCCTGTTGCCTATGCTGTATTTGGACTTAGCCCACCCACCCCCACCCATCACAAGGTATATGCAGTGCTCCATATACCTATTGTGAAGATTCCAAATAAAGTCTTCCTTACTTCCTTTCTCTTTTTCTTTAACAGTTCATTTGGTAAGTATTTATTGAACACCTGCTACGTGCCTGGAACTGTTCTACTTGCATCAGGATACACTGAGATAGCAGGACAGGATAAGAGGAATCTGGGGGTGCCAGCAAGGAATGGAAGGTTGCAATAATAAATGGAGGTTGGGGAGAGTGACATTTGAGCAAAGATGTGAAGGAGATGGTGATGTGGATATCTGGGGAGTTGAGTTCTAAACAGAGAGAACAGCGATGCAAAGGATGGTGTGGCTGAGGGCAGTGAAGGTGACAGCAGTAGTGGTTGAAGTCAGAGGCCAGTGGGGGAGGAGAAGGTGGAGCTCAATGAATAGCCTCTTGGGCCATGTGAATACTTTGGCACTTTACTTTGTGAAGCTAAGTTTCATATAATTTAGAAGTGAAAAACAGTCTTTTAGAACTGGCAAAAAATGTAAAACATTTTATTTTCACAAAGAGAACGATGGAAATCCTCAGTGTCACGTATGGAGAAGACAGAATTAAGGCTTCTGTGGGTTTCAACTTTCTTATCTGTAAACTGGAGATAATCTGTAAACTTGAGGATTTTAGATAGGAGTTATTAATATCTGATGTTGTTGTATGCATTCCTGATGCTTTTCATAATTTTTAGTCTGTGATATGCTCCCCCTGCCTCAAGAGCAGTCATTAGAGGCCAGAGAGTTTATTAACTTTGGAGTACGTTTTTGGGAACTGAATTTTGATCTCCCAGGCTCAAGTGATTCTCCTGCCTCTTTTTTTTTTTTTTTTTAAAGAGATGTGGTATCACTATGTTGCCCAGGCTGGTCTTGAACTCCTGGACTCAAGTGGTCTACTCACTTCGGTCTGCCAAAGTGTTGGGATTATAGGCATGAGCCACCATGCCTGGCCAGGCTCAGGTTCTTAAGACTTTTCATGCCCTTCTGCACAGGATACTTGTAGTTCTTTGTGTACCCCTGCACAGCATTTTCTACCAGGTGTGTCTTACAGGTGTCAGTAGTGGCTTGAAGCTTCCCACAGATTTTAGCTGCATTTCTTAAAATTCTAAAGGTCATATATTCATCATGATTCAGTTAACAGTATTTGCTAATTATCTTTATGATTTTTCTATTGGACCCATGGACTATTTAAAATTTTATTGACTAATGTGCAAACATTTCTTTTTGATTATTGATATTTGTTTTAATTCCGCTGTGGCCAGATAACTACTGTGTAAGATTTTAATTCTTTGAAATTTGATGAGATTAGCTTATGATCACTTTTCGTAAAGGTTCCCCATCAACTTGATGTTCTGAGGTTTTAATATAATATTTTAACAGGCTGACAAGATTGTCTCAGCTACATCCCTGCTGGTAGACGGTATACTTCCTGGGTCTTCATATGAGGTTCAGGTGAGGGGCAAGAGACTGGATGGCCCAGGAATCTGGAGTGACTGGAGTACTCCTCATGTCTTTACCACACAAGGTAGGTTATGTAATAGCCACTTCTACTGGGAGGGAAATTTATTTCCTGAACTTGCCTTTGTATATTATAAGCATCTTAAATTTTGTAGCCTTAAAATGAAAGAAGGAACACAATATCAACTTCCTTGTTTAAACTTTGAATGGGCCAATTCATAAATTAAAATTCTGTCAGAGTCTCTGGGCTTGTGTGTTTCTATTGCAGTACATTGTAGGATCACTTTTCTTATTAAAAAGAAAAAATTAATATAACAGTTCCAAATTAGAAAAAATTAATATAACAGTTCCAAATTAAACTCAGAAAGCCCCTTGTATTGATAATTCCTTAATTTACATTTTAAAACCAAGCATATTTATTTGACATAAAATTCAAATATTAATGTTTTACTTCATATTATATAATAAATGAATTTTTATTCTAGATGCTTGCTTTTGAGAGTTTTCAGTGCCAATTGTTCATATTGTAAAGGTTATTTTTAGCATTGGAACATCTACAGTTTATTCACAGCTTCTTCATGCAGCTGATGTGCAAAGTTTTGCATAGAGGCTCCAGAGGCTTGGAATAGTCCTAGACCTGCTACGTGCAAAGCTGTGACTATAGAAAGAAAATAGTCCTTTGACCGGTTGTCCAATCTGTCAAAAGGGCAAAATTTTTCTTGCTCAGACTTACTGAGATTGATTAGGGCCTGTATAGAGATAATATGTACCATGCAAATATTCAGTCCATTTAACAAGTTTACTGATTGATTGCTTACTATTTTAAAAGCACTGATTCATCAAAAGGCAAGTAGCAATAGTAGTTTAAGACATTGACTTTGGAGTCCAACAGAAGTTTATAGAAATTCTGGCCTCACTACTGATTTGGAGAATTTCTTAATCTTTCTATGCCTTAATTTCCTCATCTGTAAAATAGGGATGTTTTATATGGATATGAAATATCTATATAGAATAAAATAATGAAATGAAATAATTCACATTGGTCATGTGAAGAAAATCATTATTGTTTTATTATTCTGCAAATTAAAAATTGCATAGTGTGTCATATGCAGATAAAATGCATATCTATCTATATTAATATTTTACAAATTAAATATTCAATATTTATCTCATATCAATTTAAATAAATTTATCCAGTGTATATTTCACAAATTGTCAAGTTTTTATTAACTTGATTTTCTTATTTTTAAGCTAATATTTTAGCATCTACTCATGTAAAAATACTATGATTTTCATCTTATTTCTCAATTAAGCCTTACTATATATATTTGATTTCAAAGTGAAATGCTTTGAATTCTCTTATCATCTTTAAAATGAAAAACTTCAGCTTAATTCATGAAAGTTCAATTATACTTTTTCTTTTTAAATAAGAATTATTCTGAGACTTTTGAGGCAGTTTAGTAAGGAGGTTGCGGCGCATACTGAAGGTAGGTTAAAATAGGTTAATGTGTTAGATACTTATCTACAGTAAGTAACGTATAAGTGAAGCTTGAGTGCCACCTCAGCTAGGATTATACTCAGTCACGCTTATAAATCTAATGGTTTGGCTTCTGTCCAGTAATTTTATGCTACTAAGTTTTTCCTGTGTCTATTTGATTATGGACATATGAAACATAGATGTTTTGTATGGATTGTAAATATGTAGACATTGATGTTTAGTGTGCTATTACAGAATAAAGAAAACTTAATAAAAACCAATTATTTTTGTTTCTGTTTTTAAGGGTAATCCCAAGATATGTGTGAAAACAAATTTTCATAGTCTATCAGCAGAAAATGGTTTACCTTAACTTTACAGCTCTGAAATGTACTGATGTTTTTGCAGTGCACCGTGGTGGAAATAATTTCTTCCTATGCAAACCATCATTTACTTTTATCTTGTGTGTCTTTGAAAATGATAGGCAAATGAAGTTTACAACAATAGAGGACTTTAAAAATAGTATGGAATCATGTGTAGGCATTTAAAAAATCATGTTTTAGGAAAATATTGCTTCTCTTTGCCCTCATCCATAGGATATTGGCATTAAATAACTCAAAATGATAGTACAAACCAGCATTTATAATTTTCTCTGCTTTGTATATTGCTGCATTATGATTCATATGACATTCCTATTTTTTAATTTATATCTCATATATTTACCTACTTACTTGAAATTTTTATGTATCCAAACAAGACCATAGCAGCAATCATTTTTACTTCAGGATTTTGCTTCATAGTGATTTTTTTTTTTTTTTTTTTTTGAGACGGGGTGGGGCTTTGTTGCCCCACCCTGATTTTTTTTTAAGAACTTGTCCTAGGTTTCACTGATTCCCAAAGCAGGGTCTGGTGGAAAATATGTCATTGTGGAATTAAACTATGTTTTGTTTTAGTTACTTTCCAGCCTATCAGTTAGCAAGTGACCATTACTGACTAAAACACACACACATATATATATACACACACACATATACATACATACATACATATATATAGATATATATCTCGTAATCCACCCGCCTCAGCCTCCCAAAGTGCTGGGATTACAGGCGTGAGCCACCGCGCCCGGCCCTAAAACATATTTTATGATGAATAAGCCTCTGTGTTTCGAAGATAGTGAAGACATTCACGGAAGCTCAATTCACTTTCGAATGAGAGCACTCGGGACACTAGATAACTGTACACAAACAGGCAATTTCAGCATTATCCAGTTTTTTAGTACACTCATTTTATTTTTGGCAGTGTAACTCTGCAATGTGTTGTGAATCTTTTTCGATGTGGTATAAATTAGAGTGTTTTGTCTTCATCTGATATCCTTTCTTCCCTCATTACAGATGTCATATACTTTCCACCTAAAATTCTGACAAGTGTTGGATCTAATGTTTCTTTTCACTGCATCTATAAGAATGAAAACAAGATTGTTTCCTCGAAAAAGATTGTTTGGTGGATGAATTTAGCTGAGAAAATCCCTCAAAGCCAGTATGATGTTGTGAGTGATCACGTTAGCAAAGTTACTTTTTTCAATCTGAATGAAACCAAACCTCGAGGAAAGTTTACCTATGATGCAGTGTACTGCTGCAATGAACATGAATGCCATCATCGCTATGCTGAATTATATGTGATTGGTAAGAAAATGAAGGTTTTGTTCATTTTGTTCCACAACTTAAAGTTTCATTATGGAACCTCCTTATATTAGAGTCCTGTTAAGATGTAAGAAAAAAATTTTTCATTAAATTTTTTGGTGTTTTTGCTTTATATTAACATTTTAATGTGTTTCAAATAGATGTCAATATCAATATCTCATGTGAAACTGATGGGTACTTAACTAAAATGACTTGCAGATGGTCAACCAATACAATCCAGTCACTTGCGGGAAGCACTTTGCAATTGTGGTATCGTAGGTATGTATTATTTTTGCTGTTTCGTTTTTCTGTGGGTATGGTGAGATAAAAATTTTCTGTAGAAGTATTACAACAGTAGTCTTACAGATTATTTGCTTCCTGAAAGAGGAAAGTATGATATAATTAATCAGGAAATTTTTGAGGGATTATATACATTGGTGATTCTTGCAAAATATTCACACCGGAGGTTAAAAATTTGTAATTTGTTTTTACTTCAAATTATCTTTTCTGAAAATCAACCAATTCTGTATAATTTGTATTTTAACTCTTGAATGAAACACAAGAAAATGTAGTTTGTGTATATTTTAACTTGACTTAGAGAGTTGACTAGAGGAGAATGTGAAAGATTATAAAAGTTTCATATCATTTGGTTAAAGATTGTTTTGGAAAAAAAGAGGTAGAAGCAGATTATAGGAGATAATATGAATGGTTTTTAGAACTAACTGAGGTTATTTAGGAAATAAATACTTATGGTTAGTAAAGGGTAATGTGTTCTAATAAGAAGTAATTTGTACTTGTTTATTTTTACTCTTCTATGTTTTAAAAAGAATTCAAGGCATCATCTTATAGCGGTCCCTTTCTCTCTAAAATCATTTTATCTAAAATGATACCACCCTTGATCAGGTGATAGATTTTTAAAATATCCCATAGTAGTATTCAAGTAAATATACTGCTGTTAAACACTGTGTCCCAATTTGTATTTTTATTTGTAGTGGAGACTTTCAGTTTGTATAACATGCTCATTTATTCTTAAAATATAAATTTTCAACTAGAAAAATAAATCCCTTCTCTCCAATACTGTGATCTGAAGTCTATTCCTAATGCTGCCAGTCTCTTCTTATGTAGTATTAGGAAAAAAATGTGACAATTCATACATTTCTCAAATAGCTGCCTTCATTCTACCTAATATGTATATTTTAAAATCAATAGAATGTTTGTGATATGAAATTTTACTTTTATAATCTGTCTTTACCTTGTTTTCATGGCATCTTCACATTAGAAAGGTATTTGTGAAAACCTATTATATTAAGCCCCATGCCTCGTTTCTCTTAACATTTACAGAATAACCAGGAAACTACATTTACTTGCGTGAGTTTCTTAACTTCCCTAAGTCTCAATTTCCTTGTGTGTAAAAACAGAGAGACTAATAGGACTTACAATGTTTCTGTGAGAGTTAACAACATATTTCACCTAATTATAATCACGTGATATAATTTCTCCTTGTAAATATTCAATATATTGTTTTTGCTGTCACGATGGTAATGATGCCAACTTTTCGATTCTAAGTGTGCTGGTACTGTGCTTTTCTACTTTGTTCTTATTTTCTACCCCCAGATGACCCCTCACTCCTCATTTTCATTTTTGTCCACGCACCATCATTTATTCACACACACACACACACACACACACACACACACACACACATATTCATGATTGTAATTTTGAGAAGACAAGAAAAAGAAGTGGTATAGAAAATAGAAAATGACAGAAGAATATCGATTTTTTTAGCTTCTTCTAACTTCCTCCCATCTCTTTGGAAAGACTAATTGCTACTTTAGCCATTTAAATATAGTATTCAGAACAAACATTGGCCCAAGAAGTTATTTCAAACCAGAGGAAAAAGAGTTTATGGCAAGTTTTTCCAGCCCATGGCCCGGGGCCCCATGTGGACCAGGATGGCTTTGAATGCGGCCCAACACAAATTTATAAACTTTCTGAAAACATTGTGAGATTTTTCTTGCAACTTTTTTTTTTTTGGTTCATCAGCTATCATTAGTGTATTTTATGTGTGGCCCAAGACAGTTCTTCTTCCAGTGCTGGCTAGGGAAGCCAAAAAATTGGACACCCTTGCTTTATGGGTTCTGAGGTGGAGGGTTGTCTAGGACTCACTTATACAATTTTTAAAAAATTTTTGTCTCTGAGAAGATGAGGAATATACGTGGTTATATAATTCACATACATATCTGAAGTTGGTATTATATTAATTTGTATTAATTTGAATTAGAAAATTATATTCATCACGGATTTGTGATGAAATTTAATTCTTTCTTTAAAGTGTGAGAAATTTGCCTTCCTTGCCACCTCGGGAATGTTCCATGACTACTTTCATCTATATTTTAAATATTGTCTCACTAATATATAGTGTTAGTTTAATTTGCAAATTGTTTTTAAGTTCTGTCTCTAACTGGATCATTTTCTCCTTTTTAGAGCATTTATTTCATTTGCATTCCTACTTAGTGTCTAATGAAATATTTAATAAGAGTTACTGTCAGTTTCTGTGGAAAGATATAGAACTGGGATATAGCTGGGAAAAATTAAAAGATGCCTTTCTAATAAGAATATTTATTGTTTTAGATGGAGTGCAACTGTCTGTATTTTATTTAATTATTTAATTTAATTTAATTTTATTTTATTTTTGAGACAGTCTCCCTGTGTCGCCCAGGCTGCAGTGCAGTGGTACCATCCCAGTTCACTGCAACCTCCGCCTCCCGGGTTCAAGTGATTCTACTGTCTCAGCTTCCCAAGTAGCCAGGACTACAGACGCGCATTTATAGAGACGGGGTTTCACCATGTTGCCCAGGCTGGTCTAGAACTTCTGGGCTCAAGTGATCGGCCTGCCTCAGCCTCCCAAAGTGCTGGAATTACAGGCATGAGCCACCGCACCGGGCCTCCTGCCTGCCTTTTAAACCTGGGATCCCCAGTCCCCGGGCCACGGAGCGGTACCTGTCTGTGGCCTCTTAGGAACCCGGCCACACAGCAGGAGGTGAGAGAGCAGCATTACTACCTGTGCTCCGCCTCCTGTCAGATCAGCAGTGGCATTAGATTCTTAGAGGAGCAGAACCCTATTGTGAACTGGGCATGCACTCCTTATGAGACTCTAATACCTGGTGATCGGAAGTGGAACAGTTTCGTCCCGAAATCCTGAACCATTTCCCATCCCCCATTTGTGGAAAAGTTGTTTCCCGTGAAACTGGTCCCTGGTGCCAAAAAGGTTGGCGACTGCTGTTTTAAACAACAAATCAGAATTCTCAGGTATCTTCTTGTTACTTTTATTAATGTATGCTAATTGACTATTTTTGTATCTTTTAAAGGAGCAGCCTTTACTGTTTTGATATTCCATCTGTTCATCGCATATCTAAGCCTAAAGATTGCTATTTGCAGAGCGATGGTTTTTATGAATGTGTTTTCCAGCCAATCTTTCTATTATCTGGCTATACAATGTGGATTAGGATCAATCACCCTCTAGGTTCACTTGACTCTACACCAACATGTGTCATTCCTGATTCTGTGGGTATGTCAAGCTATGTTGTGTCTTCATTTGTGTTAGCAGATTTGTATGCAGATTGATGCAGGTTTAATGTTATATTTTGCCATTTTCTGATCACATTAGATTTTGAAAAGAAAATTGTTCCTGTTTACAGTGGTATTGAGAAAATCAGCCTTAGGAAGTTTTACACTTTTGAATTCATTTCAAATTAATTTATAGTAGACTTTTTTAAGCAATAGGAATATTTTCTGCACACTATTAGATGAAATACATGGGTCTTTATGAATGAATTTTAGTAATGTTTTTCTAAATAAGGCATTATTTTATGTTTTTGTTCCAGTGTAGTTATGAAAACATGCAGTATTTTTACTCCAAAGGTGTGATTTGAATATTCTGAGGGTCTCAGTAATCTGAGTACTCATAACTCAAGCCTTTAATTTGTGAGGATATGTAGGGCACAGAAGCATTTAAAATAGCTAAATTGAAGTGGAGGAAATAGACAACGATGACATACATTATATTTTAAACATTCTTTTCAAAAAAAACTTTTGATTTCAAAGATATTAAGAGAGTCCTTGGAAAATGTGATATATTCTTTCAAGTTCATTGTGAAATATCTGAGAAATGATTGTGCAACAGGAATGAAAAAATATCTTTTGGTGCTGTTATGTATGTATAACTAAGGAGGCTTTTGTAAATATTTTCTAAATGTTTGTTTTCAATATAAGATATCTGAAAACAAAAACAAAACTGGAATTTTCAGTGAATTTTCCCCTCAAATAAAATATTCCTCAGTAGGAAACACGTTAGAATAATGTTCCATAAAAATATAAATATATGCTATTTAATTGGGGGATTATGCCAAAAATCAATATTTGAGTCATTGTTTTTCAATTAATTAATACACATTTGAATTAAAACCTATATCCAAAAAATACAGAATAAGATTGTTTTAATTATTAGATTTCTTTTTCTATATAAAGTCCCAATGAATTCTCTCCCCACTGTTTAATTCCATTGAAGTGATTTTTACTGCAGTGATACTTAATATCCTAGGATAGCAAGGAACCCTCCTACACTCCTCCAAACATGCACAGATAACAACACATTCACTTATAAGATATGACAAATGCAGCATGGATTCAGTAACATATGTTACCTGAATAACCTTTGGTGTTATCCTTTTCAAAACTAAAATAGCGAGTTTAGGTTGGGCTTATATTGCCTACTTAGTACTAGAAGGTAATGTGGAAACTCAATGTTGGGATCCAAATGCCAACTCCACCTATTACTAGCCTTTAAATCTGCACTAGCCACATAGGCACTCTGTGTCTGTTTTGCCATCCATAAAATGTAGACAGCTGCCCATACCTTCCCAGCATGGGTATTGAGGGAATCACGTAACTTCAAGCATATCCTTTCTGCAGACTGGATATTCATTGCCAGTCTACAGAAATGATACGCTTCATATGATTCAGTTAATTGCAAACACAGATTTAACCTCGTACAGTCTCTTGAGTATTGATACTTCCTTTCCTGACAAGAAATGATCAAGAGGTGAAATACAGTATATATCATCTTGCTGGGTTGGTGGAGAATGCCTTTTTGGTCTATGAAGAATTGAATCATCATGACAAACTTTACACGAAGGAAAAAGTTTAGGTATTTTTGTTTTCAACAGTAAAAACTACTATTGTTGATTGCTTAAAAATGATTTTAAAATACCGTATGAAAGGGAGACTATACCTTTACACAGTGTTGGTTTTTGGCAAGTGAGACTTGGAGCAAGAGAATAATAAACACCCATATTGTGCCAATCCAGGTGTTATGATTTCCCTGTGAATCATAACAGTAGTATGGTTTATAAGACATGGGGAAATAAATCAAGAAGGTAAACCCTGGAACTCTCTTAATTTTTCTTACACAGAGTGTCGACATTTGGCCTTAGTTATGGTTTGGGTTATTTAGGTTTCTTTTTGTTGGTGGTGGTTGTTTGGTTGGATGGTTTCATACATTAGCCCTTCGGCTTCCCTTTTTGCTGCTGCAGTTGTTTTCTGCATACTCCAACCAACGGCCATCTCTCACTTTGGATTGTCCATTGGAAGGGGTGACTGTCAAAATAATGACCAAGAGGAGGGCCATTCCAACTGCAATCCTGGAGGCCTCTGCTGTACCGGGCATCGACCTTTTAGGTTCTGGGTCATGGGCAGGTGTGGAGGGCATCCAGTCTGAGCAGTTCTGGAGGAGATGTTCCTCAGGAGAGCAGCTCTTTACCAGTTGGTATGGATGTACTTAATATTTTTAACAACTGTTTTGGCATACCAACTGAATATATGTCCTCTAAATGGAATCCTCCACTCTTAGTACAGATAATCAAGACATGACTATGTAAATGTAGTATGCATCATAAAATTGATGCTTGGAGTCATAACAGAATTAGGGCTTCAGAGACACACTGTTATGCTTGGGCTTTCAGGCTTTTAGTTTAAAATATGCCACATTTCCATATTGTCATCAGAAAGAGTGGCCCTCAAAGTTAAAAATTAAGAACTTGGGGAAAACTTACGTAGTGAATCTAAGCCTAAGCTAAAGTTTTTACTTTAGCTCTGAAAGCAGCATCATAAAAAGGTGATAGGAAAACAGGGAAGATAACCTTTTTCTTTGCATTTCTGTGATTTTTACATTATGCCTACATGACTTGCTTATATATATATGTGTGTATGTATATATATATATTTAAAATAGATTCCTATATATATAATAGATTCATATGTATATATGAATCTATTTTAAAAATCACTTGCTATTCAGATCATCTTTGCCTCTATTACTGCCCGTTAAAAGCCTGTTTCCTTCAGATTATAGAAAATCAAGGCTTTGCTCTGAGATACTATCTCTGACCTTGATCTAGAAATATTTAATGATATACATCAGCATAAGAGTTTCACACTCACGTGGAAGTTGATGCAGTCCATGATTTTTTTTTTTTTTCCTTTAATTAAAGTTCAATGGAGAACCGTTTGTTATTGATATTTAGCATGGGTTCAGTATGGTGTCTTTTGCATGCAGAGCCAATGGTTCAATTTCTAATCAGGTACTACTGTTAGCTTGCTGAGTAACATGGATAATGTATTGACTTTTTTTCAGTCAAGTCTTTATTTGCAAAATAGTGATAAATCCCTCTTTTAATATATCACATAAAGTAATAGAGAAATAAATGAGATAATGAGTGAGAAAGTTATGAAGAAGATATTGCTTGATGAATATAGAGGTATGAAAATATAACACAATGTTTTTAGGCATTATTACTATTTAAATTGCCATCACTTAAAACTGTTTTAAAAATTTCTAGTGAAGCCACTGCCTCCATCCAGTGTGAAAGCAGAAATTATTAAAAACATTGGATTATTGAAAATATCTTGGGAAAAGCCAGTCTTTCCAGAGAATAACCTTCAATTCCAGATTCGCTATGGTTTGAGTGGAAAAGAAATACAATGGAAGGTACCTTTTACTTAGAACTTCAGCTTTCCTCATTAAATGCTATTTTTATAATATTTAAGAGTTCAATTGCATTAGATTAATTTTATTGGCATAAAAGTACATTCTCTTGTATTCTGTAGCTATTTTCATTAAATAGATTTGCCTAAGTCTAACCTTTTTAAAGAACAAAGTTTCCTGAAATCCATCATTCCCTGAAGTGTGTTTTATAGAACACAGGTCTTATATTATGTTCCTTAGAAAAAGATTAAATGGTTAAATCAGTTTAGGAAACCCTGTATCACTGTATCTTCCTTGTGTAGTCACAGTATACATATTACATATTCAAGGTTTGGAGAGGTCCTTCATTAAAGAAAAATTTGTGACCTTATTTCATTTCATGTTCCCCAAACTAGTTTTTTCCAAGGAACTGTTGTTTCTCTAACATCTGTTAATGTCTTTTAGTACATACATGTTTGATGGAATACATTTTGGGAGAAGCTGCTTTTCAAACAAACAGAATCATTCCCATAGTGGCAAGGGTGCCTATGATGGCATTTCACATCGGCTTTGTGATGGCAGCCTGCAAAGACCTAGAACTATCAGAAACCCTTATTATATCATTAGATCACAATGATATCAACTAAAACAAATGTGACAGTTTAGCTGCTATTGAAGGATACTGAATATCAGCGATTTGCTACAGTCGGTCCTATCTAACCAATAGGTTTAAATTCTTAGAACGTCTTTGTGGGTAGAGGATTAGTGGACAGGGATTAGTAGTAGGATAAGAGAGTATTTGGGAAACAAGGTTGCAAGTAAACCAGTTCAAAATCTTGTCATTAGCAAGGGTGTGACAAGATAAATAAGAAAATCCTTGACTTGAAGGAGTTTACAATCCTAGCCTAATTGTGACTATTTCTGAAGTCAGAAAACACAGAATCAGTTCTCTTAATTTTGGAATAGTGTTAAAATTTAAAATGAATGTACTTCAGGGCCCTTTAGATACATATGTGTTGGTAATGAGCAATCTAATGCTTTGACTTATTTTATAGATGTATGACGTTTATGATGCAAAATCAAAATCTGTCAGTCTCCCAGTTCCAGACTTCTGTGCAGTTTATGCTGTTCAGGTGCGCTGTAAGAGGTCAGATGGATTGGGACTTTGGAGTAATTGGAGCAATCCAGCCTACACAGTTGTCATGGATATAAAAGGTGTGCAGAGATTTTGTAAATGTGTTTTGAAAGTACATAAGTGTATGCTTCAAATATGGCTGAAAAAGATTCCTTCAAAAACACACACACAATTTGTCATTTTGCAGTTCCTATGAGAGGACCTGAGTTTTGGAGAATAATTAATGGAGATACTATGAAAAAGGAGAGAAATGTGACTTTACTTTGGAAGGTATTCCCAATTTTAACGTTATTCTTAAATTGTATTTTTATACTCTTAAAAAATTTACTTCATGGTCCATAATCCTGTTATTAATCTTTGGAAAGCTCAGCAATCCTGTATTTTCATTTCATTTATGAGATATATTTGCAGAGAGCTAAGATGTACAGTGGCTGAAGCACTGGCATAGTGTTAGGAGACTTTCATTTTCTTCTCAGCTTCATGTACTGTAGTTATGTCAGTACTATTTTGGCAAGGTTACACTTAGACTCTTTGGGCCTCAGTTTTCTCATCTGTGTAAATGTAAGATTGAACTAGATGATACGTAATGTTTCTTGTAGTCTAAAAATTGTATTCATATTTAATTCTGAACAGTGTAAATGTCACCTTCCCCACAAACCCCAAGGGCATCTAACACATGACAGAGTATTCCATTTATGTGATGGCATATAAACAGTGGATATTCCCATATATGATAGCTGTGTAGCCTAGTAATTTTCAAAGTATCCTTTCCCAAATGAATTGATTTCTATTTCAAGTGAATGGTTTATTTGGTCAGTAAATGCCAAATTTAAGATTGATTTGGGAATGCAACACATGAAGTCAAATAGTATTTCTGTCACTCCAAATGTGAATTGTAAGTTTAATACCCAAGGTTGAATGAGCACACGTTTGAAAATGGTTTCCTGATGAAAGACCAAAGCCTATGTAAAAGTTGTTGTATATAAGAATTTATGTTCATTTGGTTTCTAAATCCAGTTACTCTATAATTTCATTTGGTTAATAATCAATGCAATTTCTAAACTTTTCCATTTCAATACTTCTTAAAATAATTTTTTATGATTTTATCTTATTTCATTTCTTTTATTATTGCTGTCTTTAAAAAATTTAGTTTCTTTATTGCTCTCTTTTCTTTTTCTAGCAAACAATTCCTTCAACACATTTTAATATTTCAGACTTAAAGTTAGCGTTAAGATCTGACAGACATTTATGAGACATTTATTGTATTCTGAACGTTTCATACATATCTCCACCTGTCGGGGAATTCAGGGCCTGTACTCTGAGAGACTGAGTGGGCGGTTGAACCCACCGCGGAAGGGGGCACTGCTGAATAAGAAACAACAGCCTTGCCCGACAGATTATTTTTCTCATATTTTTGGTTTTATCTCCATGGGAGTGCTCTAGATATCTGCAAGTTTCTACAGTGAGGGACAGGCAGTGATGTTCCTATGTTTGTGGTAGGGCCAGCTTTGAGCAGAATTTAAGTAGCTTTTCTTTATCTTTGATTTATCCTTTCAGAGCTGTAGTCAACAGCCCTTTGGCCTAGGCTATAGATACCTTCTCCCATCGCAACATACTCTAGAACAAAACAGTTGTCTTTCTCCAGACAGTTCTTATATTTTCCTCATATCATGAATTCAACATTTCCTCAGCAGTGCTGCCAATAGAAGTTTCTGTAATGATGAAAATGGTTTATATCTGCATTGTCCAATATAGTAGCCACTAGCCACACATCGTTATTAAGCACCTGAAATGTGCCTAGTGTGACTCAGGAACTGAATTTTAAAGTTTATTTAATTTTAATTAATTTAAATTTAAATGGGTGCAAGTGGCCAGTGGCTGTCTTTTTGGACATCAAAGCTCTGTGGTTTCTTTAAGGATGATGTGTGGGAGGGAGACAGTACCCTTGCTAATCTACCATCTTTGCAGAAACTTGAGTGCCTTATATTAATCAAATTGCCTTTCATTAATTTTGTTTTGTGCTGTTTTGTTGTGGTTTCCTAAACTGAGGTAATAGTTCAATGATTACGGTTCTCCAAGTCTATGCTGCTTAAACTGGGATAAGATTTGCTTAAGGAGTAAGCCACAAGGCCACAGGATAAGTATGGCACTTAAAAAAATCATTTCTCTGGCATTTCAGAAATATTAAACTTTATGTTAAGGCAGTTTTAGAGTTACAAAAAGATGGCAAAGATAGTACAGAGAATTCCTATGTATTCCCACACCAAGTTTTCTCTAGTATTAACATCTTACACTAGTGTGATACATTTGTTACAATTAATTAAGCAAGATTGATATGTCATCATTAACTCATCTGTAATTTATTTCAAATCCAAATTTCCTTAGCTTATACCAAATGTTCTTTTTCTGGTTCAGGATTCCATCCAGGATAGCAGATTACATTTAGTAGTCATACCTCCTTATGCTTCTCCTGGTTGTAAAAGTTTCTTAGACCTTCTTTGTTTTTATGAACTTCACACAATTGAGAAGTACTGGTCAGGTATTTTGTAGAATCTCCATCAAACGGGTTTTGTCTAATGTTTTCTCATGATTAGATTAGGGTTATGGGTTTGGGGGAGGAAGATCGCAGATGTAAAATGCCAGTCCATCACATCATATTAAGGATACATTCTACCAATGTGACTCATCATGGTTGATGTTCACCTTGCTCGTCTGGCTGAGGTAGTGTTGTCTGGTTTCCCACTGGAAAGTTACTTTTTTTTCTCCTTTCTCCACTTTAGTTTTAAAAATGAAGTCCCCATGCTTAAGGAGTAGGAGCTATATTCCACCTACTTGAAGGTAGAGGACCTACACACATTATTTAGTGTTCTTCTGCATGGGAGATTTGTCTGTCCTCTCACATTAATTTATTTATTTATTCAATCATTTATTTATATTAGTATGGACAATGAACATTTATTTTAGACTTGGGTCAAAATCCAATACTACTTTATTTTGTTGCTCAAAATATTCCTGCTTCAGTCATTGGGAGCTCTTTTAATGGACTCATGTTCCTTTGACATGCCCCCATCATTGTGGGGTTTTTTATTTTAATTTTTGAGTACTGGTAAGTTTGACTTTATTAAAATTAAAAACTTCTATTCACAATAGCAAAGACTTGGAATCAACCCAATGCCCATCAGTGACAGACTGGATTAAGAAAATGTGGCACATATACACCATGGAATACTATGCAGCCATAAAAAAGGATGAGTTTGTGTCCTTTGTAGGGACATGGATGCAGCTGGAAACCATCATTCTCAGCAAACTATCGCAAGAACAGAAAACCAAACACCGCATGTTCTCACTCATAGGTGGGAACTGAACAATGAGATCACCTGGACTCGGGAAGGGGAACATCACACACCGGGGGCTATCATGGGGAGCAGGGAGGGGGGAAGGATTGCATTGCGAGTTATACCTGATGTAAATGACGAGTTGCTGGGTGCTGATGAGTTGATGGGTGCAGTACACCAACATGGCACAAGTATACATATGTAACAAACCTGCACGCTATGCACATGTACCCTAGAACTTAAAGTATAATAATAATAAAAAAATAAATAAATAAATTGATTTTCAAAAAAAATTAAAAACTTCTGATCTGGGAAAGACTGTTAAGAGGATGAAAAGGTAAGGCACAGACTGGGTGAAAATATTTGCAAAAACACACATCTGATAAAGGACTTATAACCAAATTACACAAATAAATCTTTAAGATTCAACAGTAGGAGAACAACGCAATTAAAATGAAAAAAAAAAAGAAAAACCAAGTATCTGAAGAAAAACCTAACCAAAGTAGATATACAGATGACAAATATGAATATTAAAAGATGTTCAAAATCATTCATCACCAAAGAGTTGCAAATTAAAACAAGATACAACTCCACACCTATTAGAATGGCTAAAAAAAAAAAAAAAAACCTGACAATACAAATTGCTGGTGAGCATGCAGGGCAGCAAGAACTCTTATTCATTGCTGGTGGAAATGCAAAATGGGACAGCCACTTTGGAAGACAGTTTGGTAATTTCTTACAAATTTAAATGTAGCCTTACCAGCCATATGATGCAACATTGCAGCCTCAGTATTTACTCAGGTGATTTGAAAACTTAAGTCTACATAGAAACTTGCATATGAATGTTTAAGCAACTTTAGTTATAATCACCCCAAATTAGAGGCAACTAAGATATCCTTCAAAAATGAAACGATTCTGTGTACTTCTGAAATGGTGGGTGTATAGCACTATGCATCTGCCAAAACTCCTCGAACTTCATAGCACAAAGAGTGAATCTTAATGCATGTAGATTAAAAAAAAAATCATTTAGGAGGTTGAAGGATCCCAGGATTGACTGTAGACTGTGACAAAGGAATCTACTTGTATTATAAGCGTATGAAGCAACTTCACTGAAGGTGGTGGGAGAAAAGGCCACTTTGGAACTTTAGGGGAGTTGTTGGAAATGTGTGGATCTTAGGACTAAAGGCTAAAGAAACTGTACATAAGCACTGTAGTCTAGTTGATATAGTTCTCACAGGGCTATGGGCTAACAATTATGGTCCTGCTCTACATGTACACTGGAAGGGGACAAGCAAGTAAATGGATGGTGGACGGTGGGACCCAGATTTCTCACTGTTGGATTGGGAGGTTACACACAAACACAGGATGATACATGTGGCAATGAATTAGAGTTTGGGATATAAGTATGAACTTATATATAGCTTAATATAGATATAGATAGATTCTGGTTTAGGATGCATGTACCTTTTCATGATTTGTAAGCTAAGAGGGCCTAAAATCCAGTAGTAAGGCATGTGCCCAGACTTATTTCTAATACCATCGTTCAATAACAGAAACAAGGGCTATTTGGAGAAATGTCTAATTTTAGGGTTGGGGCAGAAAATACACGAGATTAGCCTGGAGGATCTTGTAGTACCAGAAAGTAAGGAAGTTTAACATTCTCTTACTTGATGGTTACCAAAAAAAGTATTCATTAAAACTGACATAGAATTTTCAAATAAAATGCAAAATTTACATAACTTTGAGACGTTTCTTTCTGGGGGTGGCTGCTAAAATTTTACTTCCAACCTATCCAGATGATTCTTGGCAGGGATACATGTATATGTGTTTATTTTTCTCTGCCTTAGAGGCATCTAACTGGCAAGAAATTGAGATGTACTGTTCTAGTCTATGATATACAGTCCAGCCTTCTCTGGCTTTATAAGGGATTGCCAGCATTTAATCTTACCTGCCACAGGTGAAGTTGATTGGGGAAATGGGGTACATTGTTAACCTCTGTGGAACATAAGAATAGAATTGAACTAGATACCTATTTTACATTGGTATCCTTAATGACCTGATATTATTATGTTTTAATTATATGACAGAAATGCTGGGGTGCCATAGACACTGTTTTGATATCCTCTGTTACTCGTTAACCTTTGCAGACATTCTTATGTTCTAGATAATCTTCCAAGCATATCAGAGGAAAGGAAAATGAATGACAAATCTTACTCTGATTAATACATGATGATGAACACCTTCACAGCTCCTCTTGCTGCTTTTCATTGTCTGAGGGTTATTCCTTGTTTGCTTTTTAGATTAGAAAACTCTCTACCCCTTATCAGTCTTTCATTTCTCTAAAATTAGAGTGAAACTTCTTGGTAGAAAAGTGTCTTGATCATATCCCTACTTTATTATCTTCAAATGATTTATTCTCTGGGCCTTAGGAAAAAACCTCAAAAAGGGGAAAATAAGTTTGCTATGCTCTATAACCATCCAGATACCTTCATGGAGACTGTGGCAGAGGCAGACTCTATCCCATCCATTTCCCCAGTCTCTCAGCCTTGTAATAGTACCTGCCCTGATCTGGCCCCTGCCTCCTAATGAGAAATGTAGAATGAGAGTTATGTGAGCTCAGTTAGTATAAAAAGCACTGCAGCCCTTAAACTAATCAATTTCTATATTTACTACAGCCCCTGATGAAAAATGACTCATTGTGCAGTGTTCAGAGATATGTGATAAACCATCATACTTCCTGCAATGGAACATGGTCAGAAGATGTGGGAAATCACACTAAATTCACTTTCCTGTGGACAGAGCAAGCACACACTGTTACGGTTCTGGCCATCAATTCAATTGGTGCTTCTGTTGCAAATTTTAATTTAACCTTTTCATGGCCTATGAGCAAAGGTAAGAAGAGGTACAGAGTAGTAGTCCATTGCCTCTTTTAATATTTAACTTTTGCAAACTCTCCTATTTTAAATTATCTTTCAAGCAACCTGCAATTCTCTGCATCTGAAAGTCTCTCTTTCACCTTTCATCTCTCCTTTGTCTGGAAAAATAACAAAGTACATTGTACAATGATCATGTAATACAGTCCTTGAGTTTTCATGTGGGAGAACATTGTTGTAATGGTATTATAATATATGAGAATGTTTTAGTGAATCTAATACTTAAATCTTTTGGACCAATGGAGATCTTTAGGTCAATAATTCTCTCTCCCTATATACATATACATGTATATATTTATATTCACACATACATGCATATAAATATGTAAAAATAAGTTTATGTCATATTAAACATATATTTAACACTATGTAAAATAGTAATAGCATGACATATGGATGCAGGTTAATTGCTGAGACTTAAAATTACTATGGACTTCATTTAATGTGAGTGACAAACCTCCTTGCATTAATTTTGATATATCTGATTAATCAGAGAATTGAGACCCACTTTCAATAGGCGTTTCTACTCTAGGTTACATATTCAAAATGTAAATTTTTAACGGAAAACACAAATTTTCTGTGTCTCTACCAATCTATAGAGGCCTTTCGAAGTGTTACCTCCTTCTTGAAATCTTTGCTTATTGCTTTAATTGAATATGCCCTCTCTCTTCTTTAAATCTCAGAGTCCATCCTGTCTTTCTTAAAGTATTTTATGTCCTGTTTTACATTATGATTACCTTTGTATGTATAGTGTAAGCATCTTATGAGTTCCATAGTACCCAGTTCAATGTTTTACGCTTAACATTTTCTAAGTATATATATTCTAGAAATATCTGTAGAATGCCTCAGTTGGGTAGGTAGTGGGAATTGTAATGTGAGAGAAACTATAATGGTTGAAGCATCCAGAGCCAAAGAGGTAAGACAGGTATTAATGAAATAATCATATAAGTGAATGTCTATTTGCAAACTGAGATAAGGGCCTACAGGAAAGGAATATAATTTTATGAAAGGAAAGAAAGGAACCTGACCTGGCATTGAGATTCAGAGAAGCCACCTTGAGGAAGTGGTACTGAACTGAAATCTGAAATGTGAGTAGGAATTAAACTTCCCCAAAAGATGTAGGGGAGGGCAGGGAAAGCATTGGCTGCTAACACGATCAGCCAGATCAAAAGTCAAGGGCACATGATAGAAAATAAAGAAAGACAAAGGTGACTTTGGTGTGGAAAATCATGGAAGGCAGAGAGGTAGGTTGAGACTTGGCCCTCAGGGCCTCGTAAGCATGATAGGAATTTTACCCTCAAATGTAGAGATCTGCTGGAGGCTTTTAAGTGGGATGCTGTACAGATGGTGTTAAAATGAAAAGATTTGTGCTTTGAGAGTATCACTCCATCCGTGGGAGAGGATGGTTAATCGGCTTGTGCAGTATTCCATATGAGAATGCCTTTTCGAATACATCACAAAATTGCTTTTTTAAGGTTTTAGGTAGTACCATGTTTCTCTTCAATATCATATATTCCCATATCTCTGTTTAAATGACTCTCATGATACAAAAATAATTGTCATGTATTATATTTATTTGTGTAAATTGTCTGTCTTCTCTTCCTTATCCCCTTCTTTAGTAGGTTATAAGTTCCTCAAAAGTATTAGTAGATTTTTTATTAATTTTTAATTTAAAAATTGATTTCCTTCTTTTCCCCTCAGTAAATATCGTGCAGTCACTCAGTGCTTATCCTTTAAACAGCAGTTGTGTGATTCTTTCCTGGATACTATCACCCAGTGATTACAAGCTAATGTATTTTATTGTTGAGTGGAAAAATCTTAATGAAGATGGAGAAATAAAATGGCTTAGAATCTCTTCATCTGTTAAGAAGTATTATATCCATGGTAAGTTTACTATACTTTAGTGAGTTGCTCTCATGGATTATATGACACTACAGATTATTAATTCAATTAATATAACCAGTTAATGAAAACTTCAAAAATATAGATGATAGTACCATCCTAATACATATAATCCTATAACCTTTATCAAAACATTTAATTCTCTTTCTCTTTTTTTCTTTTCTTCTTTCTTTCTTTCTTTTTTTTTTTTTTTTTTTTTTTTTTGACAGGGTCTCTCTGTGTTGCCCAGGCTGGAGTGCAGTGGAGCGAACATGACTCACTGCAGCCTCTACCTCCTAGGCTCAAGCTATCTTCCCATCTCAGCTTCCTAAATAGTTGGAACTATAGGCACATGCCATCACACCCAGTTAATTAATTTTTTTTTTTTTTTTTTTTGGTAGAGACAAGGTCTCACTATGTTGCTCAGGCTGGTCTTGAACTCCTAAGATCAAGTGATTCTCCTGTCTCGGCCTCCGAAAGTGTTGGGATTCCAGGCATGAGCCACCAGACCCAGACTAATTATATTTCCTTTGACATTTTCTCATTTTAATATTTTATACAGGGGATATCATATCATGTCAATTTTCTCCTCAATTTTTTCTACCATTGTTTTTAGTGGTATAGCATTTTATTCCAAAGTCTACTTAAACTGTTTGAGATTATGTTGCTTCCAGCTTTATCTTTTCTTAAATCATTTTTTAATAGCTTCTGATATCTTCTGCCAAATTGTTTCCTCAAACTGTGTACCACCTTATAAGGCCACTAGCAATGAGTGGGAATGCTAGCCTGGTCAGAGGAGCTAGAACTGGGTGACCTAGACCAGGGTATTCTTCTAAAGGTAGACCAGTTATCCCAGGAGGTGAGTCAAGTACAAAGTATAAGTGCACAAGACAGCATTTCTAAGTCTGAGTAAGGATTGAGGGAAGTTAACTAGGGAGGCTAAGGATTGCTATGATCTTATTATACAATATCATACTAAGGACTCATACCATTATTTTATATCAGGGACCTAGAATTTAGCATCAGGGTACATTTATTTGCAAATTGTTGAACTGAATTTAGTTCATCACCACTGCTGCCCAGGTGGCTACTCTCTGTGCTTTTCTTTAAAACATGAGGACATAAAATTTAGGATTCACAGAGATCTCTCTTCCTCTGGATATATTCTTCTAGAATATTCATATATTATTAGCATTTGTGAAAATCATGGATCGATCCATCTGGAGCTTTGCTATAGGGTTGGTCATTTTCCATGGATCAAAATCCCAGATATTGCAAAGGGTCTTGTGGTCTCTACCACCATTTTGTTTGCATAGGATTTCACAAGACTTTAGTCTCCCAGCTACCTTGAATGGAATGGGGAAACTAAGTAAGTTGAATTCCTATAAAAAAAAGGAATATTGCCCACTTTGGGGGTAAGGGAGAGGTAGTAGAACATATTGCTCTGGGAAAGGAAATGAAGGAAAGAAAAAGCTCATACACGCTGCCCTTGAACAAATTGGCTATCACTGGAACATGGCTTTGAAAAATTGCAATCTTCTGTCTCTGGGTAAGACTTTTTAGAAAAATATTTGGAAAACTATTGTCATTACTAGATGATTAGAAGTGCTTAAGTGTGTTTTGAAACTCCCTTGATAATTTAATCCATAAATAATAAGTAATTTCTATGTTTGGAAATATAGGATAGTCACTTTAATTCTTTTTTAAAATGTATGTTCAACTCTACTGTTAATTATGTATAAATGAGCCTTTTATGTATTTTTCTCCTCAGATCATTTTATCCCCATTGAGAAGTACCAGTTCAGTCTTTACCCAATATTTATGGAAGGAGTGGGAAAACCAAAGATAATTAATAGTTTCACTCAAGGTAAAAATCATAATTTTAGTTTCCTTTTATACCAATGTGTGTGCCTAATTTGTCAGTAGTAATATTGCCATCTGATTGTTCTTTTTCTGATAGAATCATGGAAGAGTCCAGAGTCTTCTGTAGATTTTTCATGGTGAGGTTCCAAAGGAAATATTTTTTTCCTCTAAAAATAAAACTGGAGCTATAGAAATAAAGTCACTGGGCCTCTTATATTTCTGATTCACCTTACTGTACTTGGAATACCAACATTTTGATTTTGTTATTACTTTTTAAATTGTCTTCAAATCTAAGCAACCTAGCAATGATATTTCAAGAGATAAACATTTCATCTAGTGTTAGAATAAAAATCATTTAAAAAATTCATACATGTATTATTCAACAGATATTAACTGAATATTGTTCTAAGCACTGGGGATTGAATCATGAACATAAGTTTCTGCCCTTATGGATCTTAAATACTGGTGCTCTAATTGACAGTGATGGGCAATAAATAATTATATAATGTCAGATAGAAATAAGTGCCATGAAGGAATATAAAAGCAAGATAAAGGGATGACATTAAATGTGGCATTTTAGTTGATAGCCAGAAATGGTCTTTCTATGGAGGTAGATAATATTCAAGTAAAACCTTGCAAGTACAGTAAGACCCTACTTGATATTGTCAATAGATTCTTGGAAACTGCAACTTTATGCAACATGACGTACAGGAGGTCCTTGAATAACATCATTTTGTTCAAGGTAGTTTCATTATAATGTTGATGAGAAAAAAAAAAGGTTTGTTTTACATTGCCATTTCACTTAACATTGCAGTTTCCAAGAGCCTATCAATGATGTTCAGTGAAGACATAACTGTACAAATAGCAAAAGCATTCCAGGCAAAGGGACAGTGTGTGAAGAGCCCCTAAAGAGTGGGGATGCTTGGTGGTTCAAGAAATAGCAAGGAAATCAGTGTGTGTGGAGTGAGCAAGATAGAGATTGGCAGGTGTGGAAGGTTGGGTCCTCCAGGAGTAGATACTGAGACAGTCATCATAACAGTTTTAACACCTTGACCCCTTATAACGTAAACATGATCAGATAGAGAGGAATGACAAATGAATAAATTTGAAAAAATACTTTGCTAATTTACAGTAGATATGATGCTGAACAAAATAGTATTTTGTTAATGTGATCACAACATATTTTTATCTTCCTGTTCTTTATTTTTATAGTTTTGAAGGTAATAGAGATTTATGATGAAATCAGAAAATGTCTACTATAATTTTTGATACAGAAAGAAATTAATATTTCCTCAAGTTTCTGAGTTGTGTAAATTGTATTTCTTTTTCAGATAATACTGAAAAACACCAGAATGATGCAGGTTTATATGTGATTGTGCCAGTAATTATTTCCTCTTCCATCTTATTGCTTGGAACATTATTAATATCGCGCCAAAGGTATTGTACTTGAGGTTAAGAATCTTTAAGGCAAAAGTCCTTAAGCATATTCAAACCCTGATTTAAAACCTTCTAAATCAGGAATATTAAAGTCTTCTAAGTGCTTTTATATGTAGTCTGTATACAATTAAGATAGCATAAAAAGGAAAGGCCTGTTGTCAGGAAATGGCATCCCATTTTGCTAGGACTGTAAGAGTTAAAGAATGAGGAAAGAAACACAAAATGCAGCTTAACAGTTAAAGACAGGTTTTCTTTAGATAAAACCTGAGAGGGACTTCTGGCCAATTTTGGTCAGAAGCCCTTTCTCTTACAGACTAAGAGTATATATTGGTTTTAGGGTGAGGGGGCTTATCACAAGCTTGGAATGTTTATGTGTGAGGGAGAAGTTTATGGTGGAGTTGGAATGTCTCTGGGAGGAGGGGAGGTTATCTTAGGGCTGGAATGTCTCTGGTCAGGGAGGATGGAATGTTTCTGGTTGGAGATGTTATTTGTCATTTATGGTCATGCTGACCTTAGCCATTAGGCTGATGCCCTTTGGATTTAGGTGGTTTTTGATTAAGGTGAATTTTAAAATGAGGTGCTTGTCCATGATGGTGATGCTCTTGTTCTGTCAAGGACAACATAACTTCAAGGAAGAATTTAGTTTCTTTTTTTTTTTTTTAATGTATGTACATTCAGAAAACAACAAGCTTATAATAGGAAATCCTAAGCAGTATGTTCTTGGAGGTGGCAAAAATGACTTTCAGAGTTCTGCAGTTTGGGTCAAGGACTTTTTGTGGTGAAGTAGGTGGTAAAAGTAGCCTTTTAGTGGTGACCTGGAGCTGTCAGTTCATTTATGATCAGCAGGCACTCTGCTTTTTAGAAATCAGAACTGTGTGGCTCCAGTCTGCTTGGTTTGTCAGGCAAATGACTGAGTTCCGTGGATTGTGGCATGGGTGCCATGGTAATCTCTGTGCTGAGAAGTCCAGTGTGGTTATTTTACACATGCCAAATCTCTGTAGAAACCATTGTCTTCAGGCAAAAAAGAGGGAGAGGAGATTTTAGAATCTGAATTTATCTTTTAGTTAAGTGAGTTGATGGGGCCACATCAAGTGGAATTTTTTCTGGTACCCACTTGGTGGCCATTTTTAATATTTCAGTTTCTTTGAGAGAAATCTATGCAGTGTTTAGCATGGTGCTTGGCACACGGCTTTCAATAAGTATTGGCTATTTCTATTATTGCTGTGATTTTCGACTTTGGTCTAGATAAAAATTTGGTAGAAATCTTCATGGGCTAGCATGTGAAAATGCATCTGACCCTACAGAGGCATAGTTGATCTGGTGGACTAATTTCTAGCTTGTCTATTCACTAACTGTTCACATTTTCAATATGAATGTTTTTCTCTATTTTTGACACCCTGTTTATCCTTTGCAGAATGAAAAAGCTGTTTTGGGAAGATGTTCCGAACCCCAAGAATTGTTCCTGGGCGCAAGGACTTAATTTTCAGAAGGTTGCTTTTTCAATTTTTTTTAACCCAGAATATATAAGATTGTATTCTAGATGCCATATGACTTATAGAGCATTAAGCTTTTTTGAGATTTAAAAGCTCATATTTTATTCAGTTCATCTTAATATGTATGTTTATTTTATATTTTCAAGAATAGCGGGATGCAGGGATTTGAAATCAGGAAGAAACAAATTTCAGTGCATAGTTTATCGTATGAGAGTTCACAATATACATATGTTGCTTCTGTGTCACAGCACATAATAAAATAAATATTATAAAGTTAAGGGTCAATCTGATGGACAACAGATACTTGGATACACTTTTTTTGGTATAAACTGTCTTTAGGCAAAAGGCTGGAATCAATATTTTTAATGGCAATAATTAGCTCCATAATCATTTAAATAAATTAGAAAATTATATGATCCTCAAATATTACAATCTGAAAAGTGCAATAATCATAATAAAACTTACATTTATGCAGAAGTTCCTTTCAAGTACAAGTATTTTATGAAAGTTAGTCAACTATAATAAAATAATTTGTATTTACTTCTATAGTAGGATTTTTCAGAAAGCTCTAAAGTTTATTGAATGATTTATTAATTCTCATAATGTCCCTTGAAGCAAGGTTAGCTTTCTACTCATATAACTGGAAAGATAGAATTCAGTCAAGTCAAAATACACAAATTTTTAAACAATACTTATTGGGAGGTTATTATCCAGGTTCGGTGATTGCATCTTTGTCATTAGTCACTTGTTAAAAGTCTTCAATGATTTCCTTTTGAATACAAGATACAAACTAAAGCCTCCTGAAGCTATTAATAGTACTCAACGACCTCTTTCTACAATCTGTTATCAACCTACCTATGCGACTTTTCCTGTCCGTGGGCCTTGATGATACCTTTACTGTTCCCATCCACCTACACAGAGCCTTCCTTGTATATGAAGATCTTGCTCTAGGCCCTTCTTTCCTCATGCCTTCCTTTAACCAGTTTAATTCAAAAGACTTTCTACCCCCTTTAAGTTCCTAGAGCATTGTATTGTTTTATTTATTGTGGATAGTGCTCTGATTTCAAAGACTGTATTTTATCCATCACAAATATTTGTGGTATTCCTCCTGCTGTTGTATATATGCAAAGCACTGAGATACATATTCTTACATTTATTAAGATGTTTACTGACATTCTCAATGTTTCAATTTCCTCTTCTGTGAAATAGGCTACTTACCTTATTAGGTTGTTTGGGATACTAAAAAAGATGGTACTTGTGACATAGTAAGGTCTCAACAAATATTAGTTATTATTTACATATTTATGTATTTTATATTACTATTATTATTCTTTCAGTTACCCTATGGGGCAAATGTTATTCTCTCCATTTTACAGAAGAGAAAGCTGAAGTTCGTAGTGGTTCGGTAACTTGTTTTAGAGGCAAGATTAGCTTACCAGTTTGTCTGGCATTGAAGCCTGTTCTAATAGCAGCTGTTCTCTATAGCAGTGGCTTCTTTTTCTTTCTTTCTTCTTCACCATGACCCACAGTGAAAAAACTTAGGTTGGTGCAAAAGTAATTGCAGTTTTGGCATTTTTAATGTATAAATACATTTTGCCTTTCAACCTAGTACACCATAGATAGAGATACGCAAGACCTAAATGGAAGATACACAAAAGAGTTTTACTACTTGCTTGAAATAGAATGTTTTAAAATTCTATTTTATTTGTTAAAAATGCTGGTTGCAAGACACTAAATTGATTTCACAACATTCGAGTGGCCTATGATTTGCAGTTAGAAAAACACTGTTCTACAGCTTATCAATGAATAAGTAAACCACTAATATTGTAGACATAATGAACAATGACAAAGATTGAATTGTAATTTCTCAGCAGGAGAAAGAATGTCCTGTCTTCAGAAGCAGCAGCAGTGTTGTTTTATATATGAACAATTCTTTTTATAGAAACTTCACTTTGCCTGGTCTAACCAGCCACACTCCTATACACTCCTCACCTGTGCTGTTGCTCACTAAGCCGCAGTCTCCTTTCATTTAAACAGCGTTGCTGAGTTTTTCAAGTAAATATTTTTCTCTCATTTATCTTTTATTATGAATTCATACAGTGACATGTTGTGTAGTTGTGATTAGAAAGTCAAATACTTCCTGAGATTTTTAAAATATCAGTCCTACAAATAAGAACATTCGCACCCACTGTATTTTAAAAATTCTTCACATTTCTTTAATTTACCAGAACTTGAAAAAATGTGGCAATATTTCAATCTACTTTTATATAAGGTCTGTCAGATGACCTGTGATAGCATTCATTTCATCCATATATTCAATATGATTGAATACTTATCCTATACCAGACACTATAGTAGGCCCTGGCATTATAAGGAAAAGAAAAATACTGTATGCTCCTGAGTATACAGTTTAGTGGGGAAGATAATCATTAATACATTTATCATGGAAATAACATTACTATTTTTTGTACAAATTTATGGGGCACATGAGAAATTTAGTTACATGTATATAACACATAATGATCCAATCACAACCTTACAGTTGTAAACTACATGTTGTGAAAGAAGGGGTCCCATTGTGCTGAATACTTATAATGTGGGAACCTGGCTTATCGGTGGGGGTGAATGAATAAAGTTAAGCAAATTACATTTGGGTCAAGATCTGGTAGATGAACAATCATTAAGTAGGTTTTGAGGCAGAGATGTGGTGTCCAGCTAAGCACCTGCAAACACTAAGTCCTGTGGAAGGCAGTACCCAGCATATTCACAAAATGGAAATAGGAAGACTACAAGACATTTTCTTAAATATGAGGGTTTTATGTCAAAAACCCTAAATACTTATCTAAATAAAATTGCTAAAGCTTCACTATGTAAGTATATATTAATTCAGGGAATGATCATCTTACTTTTTAATGCCACTTAAAAAGAGGCTGAAACACTCTCCCTTCAGCATTAAAGCTCTGAAATCTTACCTATGGACCACCATGAAGTGGCTTCTCAGTGTTCAGGAGGGCCATGAGATGTTCAGGCCCACATCAGCAAAATGCAGTTTAAACCTGCACCAAATTATTTTTCCCTTTGCCAGCAAATGCCTGGCACAAAGGAACTACTGGGTGGAGGTTGGTTGAATCAGGAAATGCTTGAGGACTACGTCCTACCCTGCTGCCACACCTGCTCTCCCTGAGGTGCGCACAATGCTGCCACAGGTCATCTGACAGACCTTATATACAAGTAGATTGAAATATTGCCACATTTTTTCAAGTTCTGGTAAATTAAAGAAATGTGAAGGATTTTTAAAATACCATGGGTGTGAATGTTCTTATTTGTAGGACTGATACTTTAAAAATCTCTGGAAATATTTGACTTTCTAATCTTGTAATTTATTTTTTAAGCACAGCTAACCCACAAGATGCTTAGTTTATTACTAGGGCTGACCAGGTGCATAAATAACACTGTTAGGAATAAATCAGGTTTTGGAATATAATAGAACATTTAAAGAGTGAAGGATAATATAACTTCAAAGATTTTATTAATGATAAAAATCTTGTAAAATTCATTAACTTTTTTCTATTTAGCCTGTTGTTTTAATCTCCTAAATAATTAAAATGTACCTTTTTCTTTTTGAGACAGGGTCTCACTCTGTCACCCAGGCTGGAGTGCAGCGTTGCGATCTCAGCTCACTGCAGCCTCGAGGACCCTGGGCTCAATTGATCCTCCCACCTCATCCCCGTTGGTAGCTGGGACCTACAGGCGCATGCCACCATGCCTGGCTAATTTTTGTATCTTTTTGTAGATACGGGGTTTTGTCATGTTGCCCAGGCTGGTCTTGAACTCCCAGGCTCAAGCGATCCACCCACCTCGGCCTCCCAAAGTGCTGGAATTACAGGTGTGAGCCACCACATCCGGCCTAAAATATGCTTTCTAAAGGAAAAATAATATAATGTAACTCACTTTATATTACTAAAGAGGAAAAGGGAAATTTACCATCTACCCTATGCGTCATATTCATGTTATTTTATTTAATTATTTCATAGGACTAATAACCTTATATTTTCTGATGATAAAACTGAGACCCAGAGTGGTTTAGTAGCTTGTCTTGATCACCCAGCCTGTCCATGTAACATCTGTGGTTCAAATCCAGATCTGTCTGATTCAAATTGATACCTGTGCTATCAGTTCCATATTAAAAATATGTTTCTTAATATGCTTAATGCCACTAAATTATACACTTAAAAATAGTTCAAATGGTAAATATTGTTATGTATATTTTAGCACCATAAAAATGGGCAAATGATGTGAATAGGCATTTCTCCAAAGAAGATATACAAATAGCCAAGAAGCACAAATGCAAATATGCTCAGTGTCATTAGACAATAGGGAAACACAAATAAAAACCACAAGATGCCCAGTAGGATGGCTATAATAAGAGACAGATAATAAGTGTTGGTGAGAATGCAGAGAAATTAGAATTATATACTGATAGTGGGAATGGAAAATAGTGCAACTCTTTGGTAAATAGTCTGACAGTTCTTCAAAAGGTTAAACATAGAATTATTATATGACCCAGCAATTCCATTTCTAGGTATATACTCCATAGAAATGAAATAGCAAATCCACATGGGAGCTTTTATATGAATACTCATAGCAGTATTATTCATAATAGCCAGAATGTGAAAGTAAACCCAATGATGAATAAATAAGCAAACAAACAAAAAACCCACAGTATATTGCAAAGAAAGCAGACCAGAGGAGCCTATTGTTTTTAAAAATAATTCAAATACAAATATAGTATTTTTTAAAGGAAGTAATAATTTCTATATCAAGTATTTAATTTGTTCTCCAAATTCAGATATTTTGAATATTGATTTTTATGAAAGCACTCTTTCATAGATATCTGTAATTTCTAGATATCTAACATGATTTTCAAAATCTTTCCTAAAATTAAAAAAAATTCTCCTCATTTTTGTTGCTTTGAATTTTCAATGATGAATCTGGAATGGTTCTTTTTTTATTTAACGTGGTTATTTTTGAAGAGACTTTCAATTCCATGTCTCCTGTCAATTCTAAGAAATTATATTATTTCTTTGATAATTTCCTCTCCTCTTGTTTCTTTGTTTCTCTTTCTAGAATCTATATGTTGGATGATGGACCCTCTGCATAGATCTTCCACATTTCTTACCTTTTATCTCATATTTTCTGTTTCTTTGCTTTGTGTGTGTGTGTGTGTTACATTCTGAGACCTTGTCATACCCTCTTCTTCCAGTGTATCTGTTGGATTTTTATATACTATTATTTTTGTAAATTTCCAAATATTCTTTCTCAGAGTATTCTGTTCTGGTTTTATGCATATTTCCTTAAATGTTGCTAGAAATACAAATTCGAGGATTTTTGTTCTTTTATTTTAAAAATTCTTTTTTCTTCTATACCCTGAATTATCTGTGTTCCTTCTAGGTCATACGTTCCTGTTGTTTATCTTGGCCTCTCTTTTATTATCTCAGACTTTCCTCCCAATATCTGGTAATCCTTTGTTTTCCTTTCATGTTTAGGAGTGAAACAGTAGACAGGCTGACTGGGAGCGCAGTGTGTATAGGCAGGGATTGTTGCCCTGGGTGAGTAGGCAGGGCTGTCTGGCCAGATGAGGAAAGATGTGCTCTCAGCTAGCAATATTCCATGGCTGCTGTCTTCCTCCCGACTTTTGAGAACAAACCCTCAGTCTGGTTTTGAACGGTAGTTCTTACACGAAGGCTCTTCCCTGTTCAGCAGAGGAGTAGAAGAGCCCCATTCCATATATAGAACTTCCATTAGGCCCCAGTTTCCAGTCATAGTTCTCTTTTCTTCCTGTGTTTTTACGTGCCATTTCTTCACACACTGTCTCTGCTGTATATGGCAGGGCTAATTTTCTTTCTCCTCAGCTGCAGCTGGATATATTCTGGTCTTCAGCTTTCTTTGCTCACCTTCTTTGATCTATACTCTTCCAATTGTTTTCTATCTTTTAGCAGTGAATGAAAATCACTCATTTCTCATTAGCCCTCTCAGATCGCCTTCTTTGTGGTGGGTCTGTATTTGACTCATTTACATACTGCCATTCCAACAGAATCTCTAGAGAGACAAGAGAGAAACCGGTTCAGTTTGCCATCTTGAATCAGAATACCATTTCTGTTTATACCTTAAAAATCAGAACCTTAAACACAGATTGAATTTTTGTTGTAAGAAAATGTATTATGCTAACTCAATAGCCTTGCTTTTCTTCCAGTTCAAATTTTAGAGTGTAAAAGAACTATGACCTTTCTTACTTTGTTTTGCACCTTTTTACCTTAGCATTTCTGCCTAATTTGTCAAATTTCTTCTAAATCCAAATCACCTGGGTTTTCCCTTAAAGATATTTTAAGCCTCTTTAATTCATTTTCAATTCGTTCCACTCCTTTTTATTCTTTAATTATTTTACAATATTTTTCTCATTCTCTGTTTTTTGTTTGTTTTTATCCAGCCATGCTGCTATGTCTACATTTATGCCAGCTTTCACAAGAGTTTACTCCATTTAACAACTCCCTTTCGTGGGGCTAAAGCTAGAAAGAAATAGATTTTTCCTTGGGATCTAAAAACTATCTTAGATTCCCCAGCCAGCCCTAGGCCTCCAAATAAGCAGCTCAACAACCTGTGGCCTCCCAGAACACCATCCTCACAGATCTGAATCAGAAGCATCCCTAACATTGCTAGATGGCCTTCCAAATGTGTGGAAGAGCTGGTGCATTTTCGAGTTAAAAGTTCTGTTTAGAAGTAACCATCTCCCCTATGCCCGGAAATGCACATTACTGGGCCTAGAAGTGTATATTTCACTCCCCTAAAAACACAACTTCAGTTTTGTTTATTTTCTTGTTCCTTATGGCCCTCAGGTTATGAGGAACCAGGAGAGAGTATAAATTAATCTGCTGAATTTTGTCACAGCAAGTAGTAAAGGAAAACAAATAACATGTTCTTCTGCTTATTTGTGTTTGGGACAACCTTTCATCTTCCATTGTGTTATAGAAAGATTGTTGGACTAGAAAAAAAGAACTAAGTCAGGGTCCTCCCTATACTTTAATTATCCATGTAACCTTTAGCAAATGATCTTGGCAGCCTCAATTGCTTTGTCAGAAAAAAGGGAGACACTTGGACCATATGATTTCTCAGATCTTATTTCTAGATTTTAAAAACCCATGGTAATGAATGGCTCTGTGATTCTATTCTTTACCATTTTTAGCACTTCTTTCTCTTTATTTTTTTTAATTTTTCTTTTCACTGCTCTCCTCTTTTATTCTTTCTCGTTCCAAACTATCCTATATTGCTGTTGGTTCTCCCTCTTTTAACTTTCCCAGCTCGTTGTTGTTCTCTCCTTTTACCTATTCTGTTATTTCCCTGTAAGTTTTTCCCTTCCTGGGGTTATTAAAGCTGTCCTTAGAGTGTGATGTGAAGACATTCATTAAGAAAATGGGAGAAGCCACCTTAGTTTAAAATGTTGCCCTTTCCCAAAACGATGCATTATTGTAACCTAACACAAAAATTTATAGTCCAGAACCCATGCTTGACAGACAATGTTTTTTGAAATCTTTTATCTTTTTCTTTGTGAGTGATTTTTTATTTTGCTTTCTTATTTTGTTTTATTTTATCTAAACAGAGAACGGACATTCTTTGAAGTCTAATCATGATCACTACAGATGAACCCAATGTGCCAACTTCCCAACAGTCTATAGAGTATTAGAAGATTTTTACATTTTGAAGAAGGGGAGCAAATCTAAAAAAAATTCAGTTGAACTTCTGAGAGTTAACATATGGTGGATTATGTTGATTTAGAACTTAAAATAGATGTGTAAATTTGGGTTCAAAATATAGATTTGAGTCCAGTTCAGTTTGGATGTATGATTAATTTTCAAATTATCTAAAGTTTAAAAGTAATATTCATGATTTCTGGCTTTTGATTTGTCATATTCCTGGTCATAAAACATTAAGAAAATTATGGCTGTTGCTGTCATTACATATCTATTAAATGTCATCAAATATGTAGTAGACAATGCTGTAATTAGGTGAACTCTAAAACTGCAACATCTGACAAATAGCTTTAAAAATACAATGATTGTAAGTATAGAATCAGTGAAAATATTTAGTTTGTATTTTTATGTCCAAAGTTTTCCATTTTAGATTCCTTTATAGACACCTCAGCCTAAAAACCAGCCTATTCGGGTGTTCTTCTGAATATTTCCTGGCATTTTTTTTTTTTTTTTTTTTTTTTTTTTTTTTTTTTTTTTTTTTTTTGAGACGGAGTCTTGCTCTGTAGCCCGGGCTGGACTGCAGTGGCCGGATCTCAGCTCACTGCAAGCTCCGCCTCCCGGGTTCACGCCATTCTCCTGCCTCAGCCTCCGGAGTAGCTGGGACTACAGGCGCCCACCACCTCGCCCAGCTAGTTTTTTGTATTTTTAGTAGAGACGGGGTTTCACCGTGTTAGCCAGGATGGTCTCGATCTCCTGACCTCGTGATCCGCCCGTCTCGGCCTCCCAAAGTGCTGGGATTACAGGCTTGAGCCACCGCGCCCGGCCATTCCTGGCATTTTTATATCTAACTTTGTTCAGCCTGGGAATTTCAGTTTTCAATATCCTTGAAAATGGCTTAAGTGCTAACTTCTGTTTCAGTTAAAAGAAAGCCTGAAGTTATGTTTCTGGTGGTCACAGGACAGTGGGAGTTACAGTTCATATAAGAATGACCCTAGGTATCCAGGTCAGACGGACCAGATCAGAAGGGAACATCAACTTCTAATCCAGCTTTCTTGTTTAATTATGGCCTAAATCTAATTGACTTCCACTAAAACATCCAAGACCTCTGGCAGGCAGGGAAATGGGCAGTGATGCAAGAAAGAGAGACTCTTTGGAGCTTTTACAAATAGTTCATGGTGAGGACAGGACTTTTCTACTTTCAAACAGACCGCTTGCTGGTTTTATGAATTCAGCACGCGAATTACGCTGTGTTGCTCACATTCAAACCAAACCAAAGACTGTGTTTAATGAACTCAGTATTCAAATTTATTATATATAAGTATATATATGTATATATGGATCCCTTATATTTAGATTTTACTCATAGTTTTATTTGAACATAGAAAAGAACTCTACAAAAACAGGAAGAATGTGTCTTTCTTCCGTTCTTGACTACTAATAGATGTCATTGAAATGTAAAATCTAAATGTGAAATTATGAAAGGATATTCTTTAATTACTGCCCACTGAACACATATTTAATATGTGCCCAGATTATTCTAAAATCTTTAAAAAAGATGCATATCATGAAATTTTTTTAAATGAATATACTTTTAATAAAGTTTTATAACTCACGGACAAAACATATTTCAATAGTATATGAGTATGAGATTTCTTATCAAGTATGAGTAAAATATTCTATCTGAATGCATTTGAAGGCATTTACAGTATTTGATTTCAACAGTTACTGATTATGATATTTTAGAGAGCATGAAATATATCAAACACATCATTTGAAGGACGTATGTGATCTTGACTGTGGTTATGGGTTTTTTTGTATGTATTCCTTGTTTCGTATTGATAGCATCTAATTCCTTTATTTGACAATCTTAATATGTAGGTTCATTTAAATTTTAAGACAGTTCAGTCCATATATAGGAGAAGCCTTAAGAAAAAAGAAAACGGGCAAGCAAATATTTGAAGAAAATTATAAAACTATAGATTTCTTTAGGAAAAAAACAGACATAGGAACAGTTTTCTCTTCATATATTATGATTGTGAATAATAGGAAAAATTGTATTAATTCAGTATTTGTCTGAATTAATATGCAGTATTTTAATACCTACATAAGTCTATTTTATTATATTTTGTGCTTGGTATGTTTATTCCTTTATGTTTTTAATCACTAGCATATTCTACTTAAGAGTATAAAACTCTGCTAAATAAATTGTATTGTATCTGGAATATACTTGCCATTATGAAGAACAGCTGGGTATACCATTATTTCAAGCAATGAGTCTGAATTCTATTAGTTTAAAAATTGTAAAATTCAAGTTAAATGACATGTATGATATATAAGCTTAACACATTTTCTATAGCCCTTAATTTAGTTGTGTTAATTTTTCAATGTGATGTATCAACAGCTTTTTTTATTTTGCATTTATTTTTTCAATGTGTTTACATTGTATGAATTGAGATTTTTGCCCGCAGATTCTTGATTTGTAGTTGCTTGGCAGGATTTTTCTTTGTGATATAATCATTTCTATAAAAAATATGATGTACATTTGTCTTGTGTGTTTGTCTTCATTTCACATGTCCATAGTAAATATTTTTACATGAAGTTATTTATAAAGAATAGTAATTTACCAGTTTGTGATCATCTCTTTCATCATCATTGTTCTCAACATATGATATTATTAGCTCTTATTTTCAGATAGTCTCAAGCAGATGCTCAGTATACAGCAGATAAGTTTTTAATAGTCAACACAATTACTTTACTTTCATACCATATCTCATTTCACAATACAGTTATTTTAACTGTTTTTAGACAAGTTATTTTGGTCATTTCATTTTATTATAATCCACTTTTTTCAATTTTGGGCTAAAATTTTGTGGGAATGTAATTTGCTGCAAAATATTAGGAAGAAAGTATCTTCAGAAGATAGCATTTTCCAATAACAGTAGCCAATCTTTCCTGAGAGCTAAGCACTTGCAGACAATAATTTATTTCTAGCCACAACACCATGAAGCACATTTTTTAGAGATGATGAAATTGAAAGGCAGAGAGGTTAATGTACTTGTTCATGGTTGTAGAATTGGAAGAACTCAAGTCTAAGTCGTCTTGTCCCACTTTCAAATGCTATCTTAAATGGGCTCTTCCTTATGCTTTTTGATATATGTATTTTAGTAAAAAACTAGTTAATTTGTGGTTGACTTACATCCTTTATTACTAACTTAACACACTTCCATTTCTGCGAGTATGACATAATGAAGCAAAATTTTTTAACATAACTGAGCCTTAAAATGTGTGTTTTCTTTTAGCCAGAAACGTTTGAGCATCTTTTTATCAAGCATACAGCATCAGTGACATGTGGTCCTCTTCTTTTGGAGCCGGAAACAATTTCAGAAGATATCAGTGTTGATACATCATGGAAAAATAAAGATGAGATGGTGCCAACAACTGTGGTCTCTCTACTTTCAACAACAGATCTTGAAAAGGGTTCTGTTTGTATTAGTGACCAGTTCAACAGTGTTAACTTCTCTGAGGCTGAGGGTACCGAGGTAACCTGTGAGGATGAAAGCCAGAGACAACCCTTTGTTAAATATGCCACGCTGATCAGCAACTCTAAACCAAGTGAAACTGATGAAGAACAAGGGCTTATAAATAGTTCAGTTACCAAGTGCTTCTCTAGCAAAAATTCTCCATTGAAGGATTCTTTCTCTAATAGCTCATGGGAGATAGAGGCCCAGGCATTTTTTATATTATCAGATCAGCGTCCCAACATAATTTTACCACACCTCACATTCTCAGAAGGATTGGATGAACTTTTGAGACTGGAGGGAAATTTCCCTGAAGAAAATAATGATGAAAAGTCTATTTATTATTTAGGGGTCACCTCAATCAAAAAGAGAGAGAGTGGTGTGCTTTTGACTGACAAGTCAAGGGTATTGTGCCCATTCCCAGCCCCCTGTTTATTCACGGACATCAGAGTTCTCCAGGACAGTTGCCCACACTTTGTAGAAAATAATTTCAACTTAGGAACTTCTAGTAAGAAGACTTTTGCATCTTACATGCCTCAATTCCAAACTTGTTCTACTCAGACTCATAAGATCATGGAAAACAAGATGTGTGACCTAACTGTGTAATTTCACTGAAGAAACCTTCAGATTTGTGTTATAATGGGTCATATAAAGTGTAATAGATTACTTTATAGTTGTGGGTGGGAGAGAGAAAAGAAACCAGAGTCAAATTTGAAAATAATTGTTCCAAATGAATGTTGTCTATCTGTCCTCTCTTAGTAGTATAGACAAAAAATTTGAGAAAGCCTTCATAAGCCTACCAATGTAGACACGCTCTTCTATTTTATTCCCAATCTGTAGTGGGAAGGTCCCTTGTTTCCAGCTAGAAATAAGCCCAATAGACACCATCTTTTGTGAAATGTAATTGTTTTTTCTGCAAAACAATTGGGCGTGTTGTTTTACTGCAAGTTTTTGTTTTGTACCAACACACACACACACACACACACACACACACACACTCTTAGCACTTGTCCTTGTGTGTTTTGAGAGTATGTTACGTACTTATATTTTGTGCTATCAGACTGTAGGATTTGAAGTATGACTTCCCTAAATGTTTAAGATAAACAGAGAATTCAGCCCTGGACTAAGGGGTTATACTTGTGAAGACTAATAAGCAAATTGTTTTGTACCAAATTTAAGATGTACCATAGAATGAAATAACCTCCAAGAATGGTGATGCCCACAATCCGTATTTTGATGACAGCACAGGCACTTTTGAAAACATAATGCCAGTTTTAATTCTTCTCTCTGAAAGATGTTGAAGTGGTCATTTTCTGATGAAGGTAGATTGCCAAATGTCACCGTATATCTCTCCGGAATAATTGTCTTCCCCCATCCCCACCTGGACATATGCTATTTTTTTTCCCTCACTGAGCATTCTCTCTACATAAACCAACTACTGTGTAGTACTTTACATACCTTAATTCAGTTAATTATTGCAATAATTGTATGAGACATCTATTACTATGGTACTCCTTAAAGGTGAGGACAGTAAATAATTTGCCCAAGGTTACAGTCAGTGGGTGATGGAATCAGAATTCAGATTTAAATCCAGATTTTTTAATGTTAATGATTATGTTTTTAATCTATACCCTACATAGCCATCAATTTTTAAAAAATGACTTATAATCGAAATTTATTAAGTAGAGGCCAGGCACAGTGGTGCATGCCTGTAATTCCAGCACTTTGGGAGGCAGAGGCAGGTGGATCGCTTGAGCTCAGAAGTCTTAACACTAGCCTGGGCAAAATAGTGAGGCCTCGTCTATACAAAAAAAACACAAAAATTAGCTGAGTGTGGTAGAAAAAAATGAAGATTATAAAATGTATTAAGTAGCAATATAATGCTGGATGAGAAATTAAGTGAGAATTGCACAGATCTCTTGTTTGCCTTTAAAAACAAGATTGATACATAAGTTCATTGTTTATTCAACTTTTGGTATGGTAAAAAATTCAAAGACAGCATATTGGGCAACAAACTAAATTAAGAAACCTGCACATATAGATGTTCAATGGCAAGAAGACGTTCAAGACTATCAGTATCATAAAAATAAATACTTTAGTGCTCAAAAATATGCCTGTGGGTTTTTAAACATTATCAGAATTTCATATTTAGACTAAGACAAGAATCTCCTGATTTTGCAGTTACTCTAAATAAATCCCTACATTCCATCTCTATTCCAGTTGTGGCTATGAGTGAGCAGTTCTAAACAATGACAAAGATTCCAGACCCCACTTGATATATATTTTTCACACTTTGTCATCAATTTCCACTCGGGAATCAATAAAGCCATTCTATGTCATAAGTATTTTTAAGATGTCTCAGGATCTCACATACTCAACTGATGACCCCCTTATAAGAAATAGGTAGAGGGCTGATAGCAACGCGTTACTTGATGTGGTACGAAAGTCTTAGTTCTATGCAAAGATAAACGGAGAAGGATTTTTTTCATGGATAATTTTACATGGCTTTAGAGACACAGAAACAGATGAAATATTACATGTATAAAAATTTTGGTAAAATTGACATTTTAAATACATGCTTATAGATTATAGGTATTTAATTGAAGATACAGTAGAGAAGAGGTAGAAAATTAAATTTTGCCCCACTCTATCATTGAAGATTGACCTCTAAGCATGTCCACTGAGACATGGTATTCTGCTGTGATCTGGGACCCAGAATAACAGGAAAGAGAAACTGATAGATGTTTTCATCAGCCCAAGAATGTATGTATCTTACTTGAGTGAATTCAACAGTCCCAGGACCACTGTAGTGCTGTAGGTATGTGTTAAAGAAATTTAGTGACAGCACATTAACCTGAGATCATTGATATCATCTTGGTTCAGCCTCAGTTCCCCAGATAAATGAACAAACAAAAATGCACTTCAGAAATATTGAAATTCCGAGGCACTTTTTCATGGAAAGTGCTGAACAAGTATAGTTTGGCCTATTGGTATGTGTAGACTTAGATCATATTTATTGTCAATGGGCTTGAATTCTGATTTCCACTTTTGAAAGTTTATTTCACTATGTATCATTATGTTTTATCGGGACCTTGTGAAAACTACCTGCCATGAAATACTGGATTTTCACACAATTTGGAGAAAATTTAGGATGTTTTATGCTTCAGGATGGTTAGAAACTTCCCATTTCTTCCCATAGCTTCTGTAAAAAAATTTAAAGGAAGGAGAAGCTGAAATAGAGGCTATGGTCTTTTAAACTTATAAATCTGGAATTTTTAATATTTCATTTTAAGGCCTTAAACTGAAACACAAGCTACTAATAGTCTTTCTAAATCTGACCTTCATGGAAAGCAACTCAGAAATTAATCTGTGCTATGGCTTCAAGTTCAAATAGATTGAAGAGAAATCGTATGTCAGGGTTTGCAGGATTACAGGTTTTCTAACTTAAAACCCCAAAGAACAATGAAAAAGTTGAAGTACACGTCACTATGAATAGGCACCTTCTGTTGAATCCCTGTGTTCCATTTAGAGATGAGCTACAAGTTGACAAGAAGAATAGGAGCAGTTGTTTTTCCTTTTTAAGCCTAGTCATCAAATGGTAAAAGGATGTGGATGAAATTCCAATACCAGTGCGAGATTCTGGATTTAGAATAAGGTTTTATAACCTTAGGCATGACACTCTTCTACTTCTCATTTTTGCCTAATAAAACTTATTCTCTCTTCCATAATATCATATATATGGTCACATTACTTCAGAAATATTTATATTAACTCCTCCAAAGCTGAAAGAAAATCAACTTTAGGCTGTAAGAGTTGAGAATTACGCATACAGGGCTCACAGGTGGAGTTGGACAATATGCTGATAGATCTAAGACATACTGCAACCACAAAGTTCCATCTCACTTAGATGTGGATAAAAAAAGATCTCTTTCTATATTATTTTCTGTGACCTTAAAAGAAATTTCTTCCACTTTTCATCTTTCAAGGGTCACTTGATAGCTACCTTAACAAACCTTTCTAAACTATTCATTATTAAGAAAGCTCATTCTTAAATTTTAACTCACAAAATTATAATTGTCCACTCTATTACAACTGAAATAAGCAGCATTGAAGAAAAAATTTAAACACAGTTACTAAGAAATGTGAAGAAGTATTTATAAAAGGAAGCTAGGTAAGTCAGTAATTTTACTCTTTCTTAAACAACTAGCTTAAAACAGTAAAGCACACATGCATCTAATCACAATGTTAGGAGAGCAACTTAAAACATGATCAGCCTGTATTAGAACTGGGATATTGTTACATATATTTGTATAAGCATTAGGAGATGATTTCCATGTTTCTTGTTTGTTTGTTTGGTTGGTTTTTGACGGAGTCTTGCTCTGTTACCCAGCTGGAGTGCAGTGATGTGATCTCGGCTCACTGCAATCCCTGCTTCCCAGGTTCAAGCAATTCTCCTGCCTCAGCCTCCCCAGTAGCTTGGATTACAGGCACACCACCATGCCCAGTAATTTTTTTCTTTTTTTTGTATTTTTAGTAGAGATGGGGTTTTGCCATGTTGGCCAAGCTGGTCTTGACCTCCTGACCTCAAGTGATCTGCCCTCATTGGCCTTCCAAAGTTCTGGGATTATAGGTGTGAGCTGCCGCACCTGGCCCTTCATGAGGTTTTATAGTGAATGAATTATTTTTCTATAAAGTTTATCAATATTTATTTTGGAAAGCTGCTGAAAATGTCTATTTTTCAAAATTAATTATGCTTAAGGTGTATGGCATTAAATTCAATTTTATGAAGCTTTCTGACATGTTTGCTAAAAAAACCTGAAGCTCAGAATGAATTTGGAAGATATTTAATTTTGTAGTGAGATATCTATATTGTAGATATTGTACTTTTAAAACCTGTCATTAAGTGTTTGACATGTGGTTAACACTTTCTCTTTAGTCACAATCGGTATGTTAAAAAGTGTTATAAACATAAGTGCCAAGATATGCATCACTAATTGTTCTATGAAATTTAATTGGTCTACTTCTCTTTTATGTTCCCAAAGTCACAGAGAAAGCAGTGTACATGATGACTGTATATTCATCTTTTTATTATTATGAATTATAAGCAGTGTTAATTTTGAGAAATAAAAGTCCAAAAAGAATTATGAGTTTAAGTTACTTTAGGATGATATCTGTTGTATGGTAAATAAAATAATGATACTATTCAGCTAACATTTGAAAATATAAAGAAGTAATCCTTGTAGTTTATACAAACAGTTAATACAAAATGTTTATCCATTGTTAGCCTGTCGTTGGGTCTTCAAAATTCCAAAAGACATATGCTTTGCATTTGTAAGGGGTTTGAAAATATTTTAGATCCCAGGACCTCCCTTTACTGTTACTCTCTCTGGTAATGTCTCAATAGATCATCCCACATCAGATTCTTGCTGGCATTATAGCCACTTGTGATGAAAGATTACTCATTTTAATCATCAAGAAAGACACTCATTTCAATTTTTAAGAGCTCTTTAGTTTGAGTCTTTAGTTCTTATAGTTTGAGTCTTTAGTTCTCTAAGAAATCTTGATTTATAGTGATTTATGAACATATGTTTTATTACTTAGGTTTTCTAGCAATTTGCATTTTGTCACTACTTGAGCTAGTATTCAGACATATATCTCTTTTTCTTGCTTTTTAATCTTAAAGTGTAATTAAAACAAATGCACACAGAAAAACTTTCAAATAGTATTGAGAAACA